TTTGCTAGAAATTGTTTTATAAACAAAGACAAGTGTCTCATCACGAAAGACTGCTGTTATCAAAGCTTGTTCAGAGTTTATGATCCAGGTGTAGACATTTAGAAATAGGTTTAATATAACAATTAAAAAGTCCTTGCCTTTGCAAAGTATAGTAAACACAGGGCAGCATTTGACCAGCACAGGACCTTGCTCACTCTTCTGCAGAAAGTGTCACCAGAGCCACGTGTCCTGTTACATCCATCACCCAGCCAGCCTCGTGTGTGTGTGCGTGCGTGCGTGCGTGCGTGCGTGTGTGTGTGTGTGTGTGTGTGTGTCTACCAACATAAATGTACATGTGTCTACAGAAGCTGCAGACGGGAGCCTCTGTGCAGAGGTCAAACACAAGACAAGAGCCAGAATTCCCAGAAGCAGCGTGATCAGGTTTCCATAAAAATGTGCAGAGATTGTGTTTCTGGGGTAGAGGGCTAGAGTTAAAAGCAAACAAAAATACCACAGAGTATTTTGTTGTAGGGAGGAGTTGTGATTTTTCAATTCGAATCCCATTCTCTTAAGTACACATTGAACTTCTCATGCTGCTCTTTTCATAGACATGTCCTAAAAAGTCTCTCAGTACTTTGAGTGGCAGAGCCTTCTTTTATCATTTTGGAGTTGACCCCATACGTGAATGAAGCCGCTTGGTCCAGACAGGTCAGTCTTAAGACTAGAGAAAGACAGTCTCACAATGCCGTCTATGCTCTTGGCCTGTCCTAGGTGGATGTCTGGGTCTTTCTGGGTTACCGCATGCCCACCCTGGCATAGTGCAACACATGACTGTGCTCAGCAAGGGACCTGACCTCCAGTCGAGAGAGAATTGAGTCACTGGAAAACAAGTACAGCTCTCTGAGTTGAGTGTGGGAGGGGGACGCATGGAAGCTTGGGGAGAGGTTGTCGTGAAGCAGCTTTGATGGTCATTGTCTTCCTCCGGAGAGCTCAGCCTGGTCTGGAAAAAAGAGGCTGAAGTGTGCATGTGCCGGCTGGCTCATTTTTCCCTCTGTGCTTTTGTGCATTTTTGACATCAGGGCAAAGGACTAGTGGACTTTGCCACATGACTTTTACCTTAGTGACAGTCTCTATTCTTTCCACGTTTTTCATTGGCTCAGTTGAAAAAATACAGAAAATCTCAGGTCTAGCTTTTCTTTAATTAAAAGGACCTTCAAAGTTGTTGCTGCTAGGCACAGTGGCACACACCTTTAGTCCCAACTTGGGAGGCAGAGGCAGGCAGAACTCTGTGAGTTCAAGGCCAGCCTGGTCTACATAGTGAGTTTCAGGACAGCCAAAACTACATAAGTGAGGCCCTGTCTTAAAAAAAAAAACAAAATTGTTGCTATGATCATATGTCAGTGTATGAAAACTCTGTGTAAGACAGATCCAGTGAGCTTGTTTTCCTGGATCAGCACCTGAATGCCTCTGGGCATATGTGGATGTGTCCAACCTGGGGTAGTGTTTCAGTCAGTTCTGCTGCTGAGACAAAATGCCTGAGTGAAACACTTTGTAGGAGGGTAAGTTTAGTTTTGGCTCAGCGTTGCAGTCCATGGTTAGTACACTCCACTGCGTTCAGGCTTATGGCAGGGTAAATGGTCATGGCAGGAGCCGATGGTAGAGGAAGATGCTTACTTTGGGGCAGTTGGGAAGATGGTAGTGGGTGGAGGTGAGGGCCACACTATGCCTTCCTACCAGGCTTCATCTCCTAAGGTTTCATCACTTCCCAATCAAGTCCCAAGCAGATGATCAACTTCAACATATGGCCTCTGGAGACATTTAAGACTCAGCCTATAGCAGGTAGCTGGAACAGGATGCCTGGAGGAGAGAACAGGCTGCCTTCTGGAGGATGAGTTGTAGTGAGTCAAAAGAATGCAATCTCCTCCAGGGGACAGCACACACAGAGACACACAGGCCCACAGACATGCAGAGAGTTCCTTAGACATACATAGACAGGCAGACAGAGTCAGATAGGCACATTTTCCCAGACAGGCAGACACACACACACACACACACACACACACACACACACACACACACACACAGACACACAGGCCCACAGACATGCAGAGAGTTCCTTAGACATACGTAGACAGGCAGACAGAGTCAGATAGGCACATTTTCCCAGACAGGCAGACACACACACACACACACACACACACACACACACACACACACACACACACACACACACACACACACACACAGAGCCACACAGACAGACACACATGCACACACACAGAGGCAGACACATATGCAAACACACAGCACTTGCCTCTACCAGGACTGGTAGGAATAGGTGAAACACGCTACCACAGGCTTCTCCTATGAGCAGGGGAAAACAAAGAGAAAGAAGACAATGTAGCTTTGCTAGACCATGCCTTTGCAGCCTCTGGAGTGCAGGATTTGGTGAGAATGAAGAACTCATTGGGTTCAGGGTTGTTTGTAATTGCAGCCAATTTCCTTAGTTAAAGCTACAATTACAAGCTGAGGTACTGGAGGCCGGTAAAGAAGTGCTGGCTGGTGCTTTTAGGCTGCCCACCACAGGGATGCCCACCACAGGGATGCCCACCACAGGGATGCCCACCACAGGGATGCCCACCACGGCCTTTCCTAGTGACATTGTGAGATTTAGCTAAAGAGAGTAAGGCTTAGTAAGAGGCGTGGCCTTGCTCAGGTGGTGAGTGGGGGCGCTGGACTTGAGCCATGTTCCTTCTCCAGAGAAAGGATCACCTGCGTTTAATGCAAATGCTCCTGTACTTGAAGATTTAGTCACTGCCTGGGGCAGAAGGAAGGGGAACCTGAAAAGGGAGATAGGAACTTAGCACAGGAGTGAGGAAAGCTGGTCTTTTTCCCTATTGCTGCTTGAGGAAGGCCAGGTCCCTAGGTGGAGTCTGCCCACAGGTTTTTACCTCAGAAGTCACAGGAGTGAGCCTTGCAGTGAGGCATCAGTCTCTTCCATTTCTTCCCATCATAAGTGTGGCATTCTGTTCTCTTGGGAAAGCTGAGTGGCAAAGTGTCTGGGAATGGACCCCAGTCCTGCCCATTCTTGGGTCAGATCCCAGCACCAGTGAAGTGACAGGGATGGGATCGGCGTGGAAACTGACTTGCCTGTCACTGTGCAGACTGGGGACATTGGTGTTTCTGTTTGCCCAGGAGTCTGGGCTTGAGTCCCAATGCAGCCTAGCTCCCAGAAGAACAAGGGTATCCTAAAAGAGCCACCTACTGACTGCAGAGATGAGGGATAGGAGCCCCGTGTGCACTGGACCTCAAGAATCCAGTGACCATACAAGGGTAGCAGAGAAACCACTTACACTGGGATTGTGACCCATAGTCTGGCAGTTCCTGCCTCTGTGATTAGTCCAGGGTCATGGGCAGAGCTCTCTGCATGAGTCAGAAGGCTGCTCACACTAGTGACATCACTGATGTCACCGAGGCTGCTACCTGTGAAAGTGTCCATGCTGGATGCTGTCTTGGGCATAGTTCCATCATTTGCTGGTGAGGAATGGAGGTTTGGGATGACGATTTTTCTCCCAGTGCCACAGAGTTTGTGACTGGTGTTCTGTCCTGATTCACTGAGGGAGTAGATTCACTGGTCACCCCTGTGTGACTAGCTTTCCTGAGCCCCAACTGTGCTCAGGAAAGGAGCCCAGAGAAGCCATGCCTTTGTGCAGGTCCTCCTGACCGGGAGGGAGGAGCCCCCTCCCGTGCCCTCTGCTTCCCTTACACAGTGATTCTCAACTTTCCTGATGCTGGGACCCTTTAATACAGTTCCATGTGCTGTGGTGACCTCCACCACAAAATTATTGTCATTGCTACTTAGTTACCCACAGGTTGAGAACCATCGCCTTAGAGAGACCCAGGCTGCCTGGTTGCTGTCCATTTTCTACTCCCTTCTTCCTTCTCTCTGTTCCTGAGACCAATCCTCTTGCTTGCTTCCTGCTTTCCCATGATGCTTGAACTCCAAGTTTCTCTTCTCTTAATTAGTTACTTAGTTTTAGAGACATGGTTTCTCTATGTATTCCTGGGTGACCTAGAATTCACTATGTAGACCTGCATCTGCCTACCGAGCCAGGATTAAAGGTGTGTGCCACCACTGCCCAGTACCCAGTTTCTCTTCTTTAACTACCCTTAAGTACAGGATAGAGAGGGGCAGAGCATGCCCTTTACTGGTCAAGTTCAGTCTCCTCCCCGAGCCTGAGGGGGGCGTGAGACTGCACCCCTACATCCACCACCCATCCCCTACTACTCTGTCCTCTTCTCCCCAGAACTCTGGGGCCTTCTTAAATACCTGTCACTTCCCACGGGGCCTTTGCACTGCTGTTTGCCCTGCTTAGGAGCTTTCCTGTCAGTTCACATGGCCAGAACCTCATATGTCATCCTGGGACAGCCTCGAATCCTTTGTTCCAAGGTAGCCGACACCTTCCTGTGAAAGGTTCATGCTTCGTTTTTGTAGTTCTTTAGTTTGTTGCATACCACCTACTTTTTTAGAACAGAGATCTATTTTTATTTTTAATTGTGTGTGTGTGTGTGTGTGTGTGTGTGTCTGTGGAGTGTAGGCACCTGAAGAGGCCAAAAGGGTGTTGATTCCCCTGCAGCTGGAATGACAGCTGTGAGCCACCTGCCAGGTGCAGGGAACGGAACCCAGGGCCTCTTCAGGAGCAGCACACGAATGCTGAGAACCTTTCCAGTCCCTCACTTTTTGATGCCCCTCATTGCTTATGATGACATCTCAGTGCTGTGGGAGATAACTTCCAGAGAGAGCTGAGGCTTATTTCCTGCCATTTCCCAGTTAGTGTAGTGCCAGCACAGGGCAGGCGATTTGGAGAGCAAATGAGTGAATCAAGTCCCCATGAGTTCAAACACCAGGTGCTGTCGACCCCTCAAGTTCCCCTGCCACACAGCAGGCCTCTGTCTCCCCACAGAGGATTCAGCCCATCACTTGCCTCTGGGCCAGCTCAGACTGTGTTTCCTTCCTACAGGTGATCAAAGAGGCCTACAGTGGCTGCAGCGGCCCCGTGGATCCAGAGTGTTCTCCCCCACCCAGCGCCAGTGCCCCCGTGAACAAGGCAGAACTGGAGAAGGTGAGAGACACCAGGTCTCATGAAACCTTTTGTTTTGCTAATGGTTTTGTTTCCTGTGCAGATGAATTTATGGGGAATTGGTGAGACATTTCAGTGCACGTGTGCGGTGTATTGGTTAGCCAGGTATCTGCCATGTCTGCAGACCTCAATCCTTTCATCCCTAATTGCCAGTTTTAATAGTATTCTGCCAGAGCTGCAGCACTTCAGTGGGCACAACTACAGCTCTGCCCCTGTCCATTTTCAGTGCCGGCTTTGGACTGAGCTCCAAGGAGTCATCTCACAGATGCTGTGGCTTATTTTATTACCAATGGAGGATAAAGGTGTAGACTTCAAGGAGTGAACAACTTGGTTCATTCATAGCTATTAAATGAGGTCCGAATGCAGTGTGCCCAGTTGCAGCGCTCAGTAGGTCTGTGCTGGTGTACTGTCTGCAAAGTGTTGAGAACTCGGTCCATGGGACCTTTAGCTTTTGAGATAATATTTCACTTTCCATCATTCCTCGCCATGTCTGCATGACCATTGTGGAAATAATGTGGTCCTTGTGTCCTTGTAGAAATTGTCTTCAGAGAGGCCCAGCTCTGATGGAGAAGGTGCTGTGGAAAATGGAGTCACGTGTAACGGAAAAGAACAAGGTGAGAGTCTAACACACATGCCAAGAATATCTGAGCTCAGAAAGCCAGCTGCCGTGGGAAGTGTGACTGCGGGGGAAGCCTCTGTTTTACCCATGTGGGCATCACACCCTCTGCCCCCCAAGAACACTAGGAAGGCCTTTCAATTTGCAGCAGCCCGATACCTTTCTCTCTTGTCCTACCTGCATATAAATCATTATCAAACCATGGGAAATGCATGTCCCACAGAATGTATAATTTCCCACCATTATGAAGTGTCCTATGGACATTAAACACACACAAGAGTGCTGTGCAGCCATTCCCTGTGTCCATTTCTAGGACTTTCTTTCTTCACAAATCAAAACCTTGTTCCCATGAAACCCAGGTCCCTTACCCTGTCCCATCCCCAGCAATCATCATTCCATTTTCCATCTCTGTGAGTGGAGTCCTGTGGCACTTACCCGTTTGCAACTGCCTTACTTAACCCAGTGTAATGTCTTCAAGGATCGTCCACATTGTAGTATGTGTGGCCTTTCCTTCCTTTTCAAGACTGAAAAATATTTTGTTATATGGACTGCATCTTGCTGTCCATTTGTCCAGCAGTGGCACTTGTGTTGCTTCTGACCCTCGGCTATTGAGAACAGAGCTGCTGTGAACATGGATGTGCAGGGGGTAAAGTCTCTTTTTAAAGCCCGACTTTATAGCAATATAGATGGCATCCAGGAAAACACGTCTGCTTTGACCTAACCATCCTTTGAGCTTTAAAATATGCCTACGGCCAGTAACCATCACCACAATCACGAGAGCATTTATGTCACCCCACGCTCCTTCATACTCCTCTCTGTCACCCGCCCCACCCCACCCCTGGTAGCTGCTGCTGTTTCCTGCCTTCACTTGGGATCTAGGGGGTCCCTCCCATTGGGGGCTTCTTTCCCATATCTCAGTGCACCTCAATTCGCAGTGTGAGAGCTGCTGCACAGCATTCCCTGTGGGGATGGACTCTGTTTGTTACCCACTGACAATGTCAGGACACACAGTGACTCTAGGGACATTCTGACTCCCAAGTGGGACATATGGAACTGCAGAGACATTCTGACTTTCAGGAAGAACATATGGGGACTGTGGGGACATTCTGACTCCCACACAGGACATGTGGGGGCTGTGGGGGACATTCTGACTCCCACACAGGACATGTGAGGACTGTGGGAACATTCTGGCTCCACACAGGCCTGGCATGTGGGGACGGTGGGGACATTCTCCCAGGTAGGGCTTTGCTTGGACATATGAATCCATGTCCCCTAACGACTTATCTGGAAGTGGGGGGTTGCAAGGTCATGTATTCTCGTGGGATCTTGGTCCTGTCTGGCCTACAGTCTTTACCTGGTACTGCACAGATGTGTGATGGTGTGCAGCTGTGGCCTCCCAGTGGCGAGCAGTTTTTTCTCGTTGCCTGTGCATCTCTCTGGTAGGATGTCTCCTCAGATCCTTTGCCAATGTTCCTATGGGATTGTTTGTAACTGAGTTTCTGGAGGCTCTGCACATACTCTTCCTGAGAGTCATTTATGAAAAATCTAAAGATTGTCCCCCACCTGTATGGCTGGACATTTTATTCCTGAGTATGCAGTCAAGCGAGGGGTGCAACTTGAAGGTATGTGGAAAGAGCTAGATCTCCGTGGACCCGAGTCCTTGCTCAGGGTGCTGGGGCCCTCATCTGCATGGCTCATGTGTGATGAGCACCCCTACCAGAGTGAACCCTGGGCTGTGCCAGCAGCCATCCCAGCCCTGAGAATTCTGGAGCCCAGACAGTGTGACAGTTCACTCCGGAAGGTCACACTGTCTGTTTCTTCATTGTGGTTTTCTAATGCAGTCTGGTCCAAATGTAATTTTAGTCCTGCCCTCTGGAAGTTACTATCAGTCATGTTATATATAATGAAGACCTCAGCGTGAGAAGCTATCTTTAACTTTTGTTCTGAGGCAGGACACCCTGCAGTCTCTAGGCTCCTGCTTCACTGTTTGGCTCGTTTCTTTCTTTTTTGCTCTGAATTTTGTTCTTTTTGTTGTGAGATAGTCTCTTTGTCCAGGCTGATCTCAGCCTCATGAACTGAAGCAGTCTTCCAGCCTCTCCCTCCCAAGCTGGGACCTCAAGGGGACCACACACCAGATTACCATTTCACTGCTGAGGAACAGCAGCTCAGTCAACAGTTCAGTTTTCTTGCTATGTCTGCCAGCCCCCATGAACCTGTGTGACTAGGGTCTATGGAGTAATGTGTCTGTTGGATGTTCGTGTCGGTTTTGTATCTGTCCCTAGGAATCTCCTCTTCACTTTTTCAAAAGAAAATTATTTATTATTCATGTGTGATTGTATGCACATGTGTGTAGGTGCTCATGAAAGCCAGAAGATAGCTTTGGGCCTCTGGAGTTAGAGGAGAGGCACCTGCTATCCAAACTCAGATAGATCCTCTAAGAGAAATGCACGTTCTTAACTGCCAAGTGATCTCTCCAGCCCCTTGTCATCTTTTTAACAAGAACAGCTGCTTGTGTCTGTGACTGGGCAGGTGACCTGGCTCACACGTTTTCCTTTTGTCTGACACTGGGCTGTGTGTGTTGTAGTTGCTTGTCAAAGACCACAAAGGAACCTCACGGTCCAGATGTACGCTAAGCTCCCCTTACCCTTCATCCTTACTGTTCTCTGCTGTGCATTGGAGAAACACGAGTCGAGCTTTTTTTTAGCTTGGCCCTTTTGTGATAGATTTTATGGTGGTCACAGAGGAAGCTTGAGCAAATCCTTGCTGCCTACACACTGTGGTCTCACCCGGAAAAGGCAACAATCAAAGCTATAGCTCTGCTCTGAGCTGCCCTTTTCTTCTTTCAAGATGAACCCCTGTATAGACAGTGGGGAGTCATGACCATCCTATAGCAGATGTGGGGAAAGATGGCGCAAGTCCACACCCAGTACCGTGTGCCTTTGAGACATAGTCCTCAACGGGCTGTCTGTGGGTAGACCTGTTGAACTAGGAGTTTGGTGATGTCACCTCTCCCTCCCCTCGTTCCCCTAGACTAGACAGAAAATCATTTTATCTCCATCTCTAGGAGACAGTGGGCCTGCCTAGGTTTGTGACATTTGCACACTGAAATATTCATGTTGTCTTTCTGTCTTTGTCACTGGGACATTGGTCTTGGCCATCTGTACTCTTTGAACCCTCCCCCTGTTCTCTCATGTAACCTCACTGAGCTGCAAGTTCTCTATTGACTTCTGAATTTGGGAATGTGCTAAGTGCTGACCCTTTCCCACTGAATAGCCTCGATGTGTCCTTGATGGCTTTTCTGTCATGTCCCTACACAAGGACCTTTCTTCCAAGGGTGACCTAGGATATGCTTATTCTCTGCCTTACTGGCAGAGAATGCACTTTGCTGGCAGGAGCTCGTCTCAGTTATGCTGAGACTCTGAATCCTACTCTCACGGAGTCCTGCTGCCTGAATGGGAGGGTCATCTCAGGGTGGAGCCTTGAGGAGAGTGTCTCTGGGCTCCTTACTTCCAGCTTGCCTGGTAATAGGAGGTAATGAACTCATCTACAGGTTCCTGGAAAGTCAGTGGTAGAGTTAAATACTGTCACTTCCACTCCCCGTGGTTTGGCTGGGCTGAAGTAAAATGACCCAGATCTCTTGCCCTGGGCTTCTGTCTGGTAGAGGGGGAAGTGCTGATCCTCCCACCAAGGCTTTGAATAGGTTCTCAGTACTCAGTAAGTAAATGTGTGTCTAAGAGTGTAGAAAAGGGGATGTATGGACATTCTAGGTTCTCAGTACTCAGTAAGCAAATGTGTGTCTAAGAGCATGGAAAAGGGGGTATATGGACATTCCCCCCTTTCCATAAGATCTCAGGAGGCCTTAATCTGGGTTATTTAAAATAAGCAAACATGTTTGTAAAAATACATGCTGCAGCCTAGGTTGTAAACAACAGAAGCTCAAGATGAAGGCCGCAGGTAGGGTTGGTCCCTGAGCCTTTCTTCCTGGATTGTGTCTTCATATGTTTTGTGCATACACAGTCTAAAAAAGGACACTACTTTTTGATCAGTCATTCATACCATGTTGCCTCATTTACTCATCTCCAAATACTCTTGGGTCACAATTGCAGGGTCAAGGCAGGAACATTCAGTATACAATGTTGTTTGCCCTCAAGTTCTTTATGGCTTCATCTTTTAGCTACAGCATGGCTCCTCTTTCCTCAGACACTGCTGCTTGCTTTTACACCAGAGAGGAGGCGAGGATTTCACCTATTGATCTTGGGAAGTGGGTAGGGGCAGGTGGAGATACAAATGAGCGCTGTTTCCACTCCTCACCAGAGAGGAGTGGGAGGGATGCTTGCGAGTGAGCATGCTTGCTTAGGGGAGAGGGTGGGGCATTATTCCATAACGTATCACATGCCCCTGGATGTTCTGTCTCTAGTAGTTTGTGTGATATGCTGGGTCCATTTGTTCCTGAAAAAGGAGAAAGGACCCCAGATACCCACTGCATTCTAAAAGGCTTTGCATTGCCTAAACGGTTGCTACAAATGGCTGAAGGTTTGTACTAGGTGTGTGTAGAGAGTGGGGTGATGCTATTGGCAGTGATGCAGAACTGTACCCCAGCGAGGCTGTGTCCCAGTGGAGGAGACCCCTGAGAAAGGGGCTTGCACCCTGGCTCTAGCACATGGTATCCTTAAGAGACTGAGATGGGCTGACAAGACTTTGTCCAGAGCTGCTCTTGAGTGGAAGGATTGGGTCTCTCAGCTCTGAGTGTGTCCTTACACGGTCATTCTCACTTCTCTGAGCCTCGTCCCTTTGATGGATTCATGGATGAAGTCTGAGGGTAGGAGAGGAGGGTACACAGGGCTGAGTAGGAGCAGATACAACAATTGTCAGTCTACCTCCCTCCATGGCATGTGTGGACAGATGAGAATTGCCCTATGCCAGAACTTGGAGCCATTATCACCTGCATGGACTCTGCACCAAGATGATGCATGTAGGAGTCCAGAATTTCCAGGTCTTCTAATTTTGCTGGGGAATCCAAAACTTATTTTTGTATAAAATATTTCTAGATTTATATATTGATGGTTAGTTTCTAGCCATCACTGTCCTGGCCAAATGAGATGATGGTCTGAAAGGTGAGCCTCTGGTCTGAGAGCTCTGGGCAGGGAAGCTCAAAGCATTGTCCAAAATGAACAAGAGAGACCAATAATGAGAACCTACTTCCCCGTCCCTCCTCGCAGACCCAGCCCTTGTCATCCAGGCTGCTAATGAAGTGACAGCAGCTTCCCTTGATTTCTTGGGCCCCTCGATCTCCACCATGTTGATGGTATGTGTCAGCCTATCTTCCTGCCTGGGCATTTGTCCCTCTGGGACACCAGAACTCCTTCCTTATGTCTGAGCAGCCAGTCAAAAGTCAGTTCTGGGTAGGCTCTGTCTGACCACCCAGCCATTCTCCCAGTCATTCCCATCTCCACATGGTTCTTGCCATTATTTGCCATCCTTTGTTGCCTTCAGTTCATCATGTGTGTGTGATAATACAGACATGTCTGTATTCACATACGTACAAGCCTGGGTCTCCTGCGCGTAGCCATATCCTCCTGCGACTCCAACATCCGGACCTCCAGCTGGCTCATCCCAGATGCCCAGGTGCATGATGAGTAATAGTTTTCAGGGGAAGAAAAGTCTGGTGATTAATGCTGTGATTTTCCCATTTAACATGAATGGCTAAGACACACTTTTGTGTTGACAGTGAAGAGGAAGAAATCCGCCAAGTCAGATGCCAAGGGAACTGTGTCCAAGGTCACCGGGAAGAAAATCACCAAGATCATTGGTCTGGGGAAGAAGAAGCCATCCACGGATGAGCAGACATCATCCGCGGAGGAAGATGTGCCCACCTGTGGTAAGACCCTCCCACGTGCCAGCAGCAGACTGTCCCTGGGTATGCTCTGGGGCCGTCTGAATTGTGGAATTCAGTGTTTCGTAATGGAAGAATCTTCGGGGGGTTTGCGATGTTCCCCCGGTTCTTTCAAGTTTAAAAAGCTATGTTCTCTGTTGTATGACGGCACCTTCCCTGGTCCCACTCCAGCGTTTCCAGACTAGGACACCGCACAAGCAGGTCAAAGCTCTAGCACTGAGTCTCCTTCACATCACAACTCAGTTGTAGATCCAGAGACATCTGTCCATCCCACAGTCTGTCTTCCATCCTTGTTTTGGCGGGGGTGGGGGTGGGGGTGGGGTGGGGGGGTGGGGGCTGCTTGTCAGGGATTGGGTCTACAGCATATGGTCTACAGCGACAACAAGCCAGTCCTGCCTACCATGGCCTCTGGACGAGGGGCTAAAGAAAGGAACCAAACAGGGAAAGAAACCAGAGGAATGCATGTGTAAGACCAGCAGTGACCACCATGGGGAAAGCAAAAGGCTGGAGGGCTCTGTCATAGCACCCAAGCCGGGCTGTGGCCAGGCCATTGGGTACAGTCTCCATGAGAGTAGAGGCGACATCACACCCTCAGGGCCCCATTACCACAGGAGAACTGTGCAGTTCTGTCAAGGAGGAAAACTGTAGAAGTGGAAAGAGAGGTGCTTGTCTTTTGATTTTGTTTTGTTTTACAGTACTACAGACGATCTAGGCTGGTGTTCTCTCTTTAAAAAAAAATCAAGAATAGAGCCTAGCATGGGGGTACATTCCTATAATCCTACTACCAAGGAGGCTGAAGCATAGAGGGTTGCTGCCAATAAGGCTAGCCTGGACTATGTAGTGAGCACTAACCAGCCAGGGCTGTATAGGAAGGTCCTCTATCAGAAAAACCAAAGTGAAAACAAGAATGGGCTGCAACTGTCCTTGTGTATTACTGTGTCAGACTCTGCTTCCCTTCTGTGTGAACACACAGTTCCTTCATCCAGAGTCATTCTGCTTACAGTCCCCTCTGCCCCCACTGAGCGCCTTCCTTGGGGGCTGAATCAGGAAAGAATCATAACCTCTGTAGGTACCAGGAGCCCAGTGCACCCCAGATTCCCAGATTGTCTCTCATTAAGGCGCAGCTGGGGACAGCAGGACAGAATCAGGGTGGCTGGTGATGGTGGCCCCCACATCACACTCCCTTACTTGAGGAGAGAGCTTGGCTGCAGTAAAGCCAATAGGACAGAACTGTGTCAGAGTGGGCAGGGTCTGAGGACACGGCCACACTGCTCCTGGCCAACCTCCATCTTCCTGGAGCTCTTGGGCACATAGTCTTTCTCCCTGCTTTTGTCAGTGATGAGCAAAGTTTAGAATTAAAGTGAGCTTTACTTCTTTTTTTCCCCAACTGCTCTAGGTCAGTGGAGGAAATAGAAATTATTTTTTTGAGACATGGTCTCATCATGTAAACCAAGTTAGCCTTGAACTAACAGACAGCTGCCTGCCTCTGTCTCCTGAGTGCTGGGATTCAAGGCCTGACTAGAGGTAAAAATATTTTTAGGAGGATTGTTTGAGCATTAACAAGGCAGGCAAGTGAGGCTGAAGTCTGGATCCTCCTCTGATGCTCAGAGATAGGCATGGGCTTGCTCCGAGTCTCAGGGCTCATCGAAGGCAGAATGGGTGACACTCACCCCCTACAAACATTTTCTGGCTCCCTGTAACTCATGTCCTCTCCTGTATTTCCTTATCAGAAGAGCACAGGCCTGCAAGCCTCCCCATAGGCTGCTCTTCTGGCACTTGCTGTCACACAGAGGCAGTTGTTGTCACACATGGCTGTTGCTGTCACACAGTGACTCATCTCTATGCTGGTCACTTTCTTGAAAGTTTGGGTGATTCTGAAGGCAGGGACCTGAGGCATCTGCCACACACAACTCTAAAATTGCCAAGCAGCTCTTTGCCAGACCAGGGGGTAAGGGGACTGTCTCTAGGGGAACAGGGAACAATGGCCATTTTCAGTCGTTGAGTGCAGCTGCAGGGCTCTGGGCAGAGGAAAGGGGCTGGACTCGAGCCCGAGGGGCTGACCCTGCCAAGCTGAGCCCCTGCAGCTGCTGGGAGACAGCGCTGAGCTGCTGGGCCAGAGGGCAGAGCAGCTGAGCAGGCAGAAGAGACTCCCTGGAGTTACTGACAGGCACAGGCACAGGCACAGGCACAGCTTGTCTATGCACTGCAGTCTGGTAATGGTGTGTGGGGCGCTGTGGCTTCCTGGGTGCTCTTGCAGGGCTTCCACGGGCTGAGGAGCAGACCTGCAGATGCAGCTGCAGTGCCCCAGATCTGTCTCTTTCCTCCTTAGAGACCTTTGGGGGATGGATATGTTAATGCTGGTCTGGGCAGTTTCTCCCACAGCCCTCCAGGTACTGTATCCTAGCCAAGCACCAAGACTCCACACCCAAGGTGGTTTTCATCAGGCTCTCCATGGGCTGATGTAGTGCTGGGGCTCTTGTTGCTTTATAAGCAAAGCCGTAAGACCTGCAAGTGTGCTCTCCTTTCAGTAACTCTCCTTCCTGCCCCCCACCCCGCCCCACCCCACCCCACCCCGCCCCGGCCAGGGCTGCTCTCCACAGGCACCTTACACTGGTCACTGCTACCCACCTGAGGTCTCAGTCCTGTCCAAGCCTCCCATTGCATTACTAGATTATGACCCTGCTCCACCGGGTCCCCATCACCCAGAATCGGGGCCCAGCACACGGTAGCAAGGTCAGTGCTTTGGAGATTCAGGCTGCTTGTCTGGGACGTGGGCTCCAGCAGCCCCTTGGTTTCCGTGCGAGTGGAAGTTAAGCTGTGCAGTGCTGAGCGCCTGTATTACATCACTGTCCATTCTTCACCTTAGAGACAAGAAAACACACCTGCGCACCAGCCCTGCTCAGGGTCAGGTGAAAAAAATGTAGAATTTCAGGCCTGTAAAGTTAGCTTTGCAATTCTAATGAAACCTGTTTAGTCTTGCCTTTCTTCCTGTAGAATTTGGAGTAGAAAGAATACCAAAATATCAGACTGAAATTACCCACTTTTTAAGATATGTTAGCAACTTGCTATATATAATATGATGGGATTAAAAACAAACATAAAACAGTCAAGCCGGGTGGTAGTGGCACATGCATGCCTTTAATCCCAGCACTCGGGAGGCAGAGGCAGGCGGATCTCTGTGAGTTTGAGACCAGCCTGGTCTATAGAGTGAGTTCCAGGGCAGCCAGGGCTTCAAAGAGAAACTATGCATCCACAAACAAACAAACAAAAAGCCAAAAAAAAAAAAACAACATCCCCAAAACACAAAAACAAAACCAGGAAAACCAAACAACAAAACCCTATGTGTAATTGTTTATGTAAAGCTTGGGATACAGTTCCCTGAAGTCTCCAACCTCTTGGCCAGTCTGGAATCCAGGCCTTCAGGTCCTGGCTGCACTCTGGCACCCTCTGGTGGCAGATTTATGCTTCAGCTCGAAAATCTGGCTGATCCCTTCAGCAAGAGTGGGACTCACCCTTTGACTCCAGATCCCTGACTCCTCAGTCTCTGCCATTCTTTGCCTGGCCTTGCCTATCTCTGTGTTCCCTCCCCAAGAAAGCCAAAACTTCGGAACCCACTTTTTGAGAAAATAGAGTACCATGGAGGTCAGTTGACAAACACATCTGAGAGCTTCCTGTTTATGTGAATCGGGCCTGTCATCCAGGGAATCTTCCTTCTTTCTCTCTCTCTCTCTCTCTTTCTTTCTTCCTCTCTTTCTTTCTTTTTCTTTCTTTCTTCCTTCCCTCCTTTCGTTCTTTCTTTCATTCTGTCCTCCCTCCCCCTTTCTTTCTCTCTCTCTCCTGTTTCTCTCTCTCCCTCTCCCTCTGTCTCTCTTTCTCTGAAACGTAAACCCCAAGAATGTATTAAAATATGGTAATATCCCATGAAGTCATGGTCTAAATTAAGGGAGGACCTGTCTCATGCAATCATTCCTCTGTGGCTGAAATGTTGGGAAAGCTACAGCATCTGGTGATTGTGGCCAGATTCTGTCTGGAGAGAGCGCAAGGCTGTCTGTTCTGATGGTGGGCGGTGTCCAGCGACAGCTGTGTGAGCATGGGGAGGCAGTTTCCAGCTGTGAGCCCTAAATCAGAGTCATGGGCAATTTAGGGGTATTGCTGCTAAGCTCCCCAGGTGTGCATTAGTCTCACTAGTCTTACTACTGACACAATGCCCTAGTACCTTCTGCCCAGTCTGCTGCCTGAGTCTACCTGCCTGCTATGTGCCTGGCCTGTGTCTAAGGCTATCTGTGCAAGCTGATGTCTGCTGCTGTTTTCCTGGCTTGGTATCTGAGGCTTTCTGCCCAGGCTGGTGTCTGAGGCTCTCTTCAGTGTGGTCACTGGAGTCCCATATCTGCCACTCGTTCAGCTGCTGGCTCTGCAGACCTGCACAGGCCATGTCCTTTCTCTATCTGGTAGCTCCACAACACCCACCATGCCCAAATGAGTTCAGTGCTCATTTGTTTGTTTTAAGGTAGCGTCTCCTTGTCATCCAGGCTGATCTTGAACTCAAGGCCTCCTGCATCTACCTCCCGAGTGCTGAAAATATAGCCTTGTACTCCCACACTGGTTAGTTTTTGTTGTTGTTGAGACAGGGTCTTATTATATAGCCAAGTCTGGCCTTGAACTCATGATCCTCCCTGCCACATGCTGGGATCACAGGCACGTGCTGTCACTCCCAGGGAGGGTGGCTCTTTAACAGTGGTTAAACAGTCCAGGCGTGTGTGAGCCTTGCCTACAGAGTATATCAAGTTACTCGAGGGCTTCCTGCCTTCCTGTTTGTGGACTTGTGCTCAGAAAACGCTTAGGCTCTGTTGACACAGGTGACATCTACTCAGAAGTCCAGCATGTGGCTCTCGGCATGATTGATAGCTGTAGGTGGTGGTCAGAGCACTGAGAGCGACTGTTGCACTGAGATGCTCATCTGACTGCATTGTAAGGCAGGAGCTTTCCATTTAGAATAGTAACAAACCAGAACGGTTCCATCTTCACATTAAAAGCCTTTTAAAAAGAGCAGTTATCATTTAACTGTGGTGTTGTACAGGAGGAGGATCCAGTGAGGCCTGCAGCCGTACCAGGAATAGCCTTCCTTATCTGTCTCCTCTGCTTTCACGGAGGCATCAGGTCTGACTGTGGCCTCTGGTCAGGCACCCCACACTTGGGGGTGCCTCCTCCTTCCCAGATGGCTCTTGGAAACAAGTTAAAAGCTGCCTGAACACAAGAGAGGGGCAAGTCCCCTGTCCTGGAGCCCACAGCTGTCTGTCCCTGTGCCTGTGACCTCACAGATTTCTTGACTGGCATGGCTAATGGCAACTTTTGTCCATCAAGAGGTATACTTTAGGGTGTGTGGGTACAGGTGACCCACACCTAGATGAAGACTTGCGCTTTGCAGAGGTGGGCAGTCACTGAGCTGTATCTTGAAAATATCCATCAGAGATACACGAAACTTGGCTCGGACACTGAGCATGTGCACACACGTATAAGGACTGAAAGGTGCTGAGTGGTACCCAGCGCTCTTCACCATCTTCCTTTTCACCTGCTGCTTACCCGTTTCCACTGTCCAATCCCTCTCAGATCTCAGAGGGCTGGTATCTGCGATACGGGAACAGTTGGAGGCCATATAGCCACAGCTGCCACAGTCACCATGGAAACTCCAACTCTTGCCTCAGTATTTCTAGAAAAATGTGCTTTGCGTTTATGATAGCCCCAAATTGTCATTTTCCTGTGTTTGAGGATTTTTCTCTTTCGGGGGATAATTCTCCCTGTAATTGTCACGTGTGACACCACACCTCTGTGTAATACACTGAAAACGCAGTATCATGCCAGATATGCCAGGAACACCATCACACAGGCCCAGACTTAGGCGGTCAGGTTTCATCTGTGTGAGTCTCCCCATGAAATGAAGCCCTCGCTCCCACATGTGGGGATAGAACACAGCGACCAGGAGGAGGCCTGTGGGTGGGGAGCTCATACCAGCCACGTTTTGTCACTTGCTGGAACACATCCAGTGCTGGGGAGCTCACCGCTCCCCAGGCCTCCCACTTCCTGGAGAACTTTCTTCTTCGGATACTTCTCTGTCTTCCATGCCCTGCTTGCAGCGTTTGCAGTTGGATCTTTTTTGCATTCGATGTCTCTTCTGTTACGTGCGGGCAATCAGTCCCCATTGCTGTCTAGCCACCACACATCCACTGTCACTGTTTCAAGGTGGTTTCCAGGTCTCCATGTCAACACCAAGCAGCCGAAACTGGTTCTTATACCATGAAATGGCTTCCAGGTCCTGTGGAGAGTGAGCTGTGTAACAATGGCTCTTCTCTCTTTATTAACACTTAAAACCTTGGCTGTAAGCATCTGTTTCATGCATGGAACTGCCCTGGTCTACAAGGGACCACAGACAAGGGACCCGGGTAGATCTCTTAGTACCTTGGCTTGCTCAGGAGGCTGAGCTGTGGCATCCTCTCCTTGCAGGGTACCTAAATGTGCTCTCCAACAGTCGCTGGCGCGAGCGCTGGTGCAGAGTGAAGGACAGCAAGCTCATTTTCCACAAGGACAGGTCTGACCTGAAGACCCACATCGTCTCCATCCCTCTCCGTGGCTGCGAGGTGATTCCCGGCTTGGATTCCAAGCACCCGCTGACTTTCCGGCTGCTTCGCAATGGACAGGAGGTGGCTGTGCTAGAGGTATGGGATTCCCTGGGTCTCTGTACAGAGAGGTATGCACAGGTTCTGTCAACAGCATCATGATTAGGCGCTTTGCAAAAGACCCTAGCTTCCTGCAGGGTCCGATTTTGATCCAGCCCCTTCCCCCTCTTAGCCCTCTCTGTTTTGTGCTCTCTTCTGGGTTTCTCTTTTGGAGAGTCAGGGATTGCACAGGCACTGCATTCTCCCTACAGAGCTCATTGTAGTCTCTGGAACCAGGAGGATGACTGCGCCCCCTGGTGGCTGCTGTGCAACAACCCATGTCCCAGAAGGCCTGCTTTAGTCCAGGTCTGGGATGCCCCTAGCTTTCAGCTGACCCGACAGCAGCCAAGTCTGTTTTCCCTCTTAGCCTCTTACCTGCCTGTAAAAACCAGCAATGGGCTAGAGTCAGTGTCCTTTGCAAACCTCCGTGTGGGCTGAGACCTTGAAGGGGGCTGTCCTCAGAGCAGATGCAGGTCTCAAGGGCAGCTTCAGCGACAGATGCCAGAGGGCCCAGGGAAGAGGAAGCAGGGGTTGGCACGGCAGGATGAGATCTCGGCTGTGTGTCCCGACAAGGAGAGGAGCCCAGGGTGGGGTGGGTGGGAGCTACCTCTGTGGGGGTGCTTAGTGCTGAGTCCATGAAGAGCAGAAAGTTCCATAGCTTCCAGAAAACCTGCAGCCCTAGCAGGTGCTGGAGAGTGTACTCTGTCTCCTGAAGAACAGCAAGAGCTTATTGAACTGGCATCTTCCCAACTCATCAACTGTTTCTACAGGGCTGGAGTAACTTAGTGCTCACACACAGGGCTGTGGGGCTGAGGTGACTTAGTGCTCACACACAGGGCTGTGGGGCTGAGGTGACTTAGTGCTCACACACAGGGCTGTGGGGCTGAGGTGACTTACTGCTCACACAAAGGGCTGTGGGGCTGAGGTGACTTAGTGCTCACACACAGGGCTGTGGGCTGAGGTGACTTAGTGCTCACACACAGGGTTAGGGATATAGCTCACTCGTCTAGCATGTACAAGGTACTGGATTCCATCCCCAATACCACACACAAAAAAGTCATTACATGTGCGCGCACACACACACACACACACACACACACACACACACACACACACACCTTACTGGTGGTCCTGCAGTGGGCCAGCAAGGAAGGCTGAAGGCTGCTGCCTGTGCTTCCTCACATTTTAACTTGAATTTATAGATGCTTTTGGAATTACAGAACCAGTGCAAAGGGCCACATGTCCTTCCCTACAGTGGCGTTTCCTGCTGTTTCAACACACTGATTTCCATGTGGATTTTCCCCCTCTACTCTTAAAGAATTCAATGCGTGTTTATAAAAACTAAAAACAAAAGCAAGGGACACCACTTTTCTAGAACCACAGTGATGGCAGGAATAGAAGTTAATACTGATGCCATGCTCTCCCATGATGCCTAGGTCTTAATCTCAATTTTCCAGTTGTGCCAGCATGGCCCCTGGTGCCTGATGAGTATCTGAAAACCCTGTGGCTGTTTATCCTCCAAGTCTCCCAGCCTCTCCATGCAGTGTGTGCTGCTGATGCTCCTCAGGGCATAGACCTGATATATCATAGAAGATCCTTCCTTTGGGATGTGCCTTCTGCACTGATGCTGGGCTGTCCTGGTACTCTTAGCAGGAGCCGGTTGGAAGTGGTGTCACTGTATGGTGTGTTCTGCAGGGAGGTGCTTGAGGTCACGTGTCTCACTAGTGCTATGATTCATCTCAACACCGTATTAGTTACTTTTCTATTGCTGTGATAAAACACCACGACCAAGGTACCTTATAGAAGAAAGAGTTTGCTTGGTTACGGGTTCCAGAGCAACAAGAGCCACCATGCAGGGGAGGGATGGCAGCGAGCAGCAGACATCCAAGTGGAGTAGAAAACTTGAACTCGCGTCCTTTACCGTAGCACGGAGCAGAGAGAGCAAACCAGAAGCTTAGGAGGCCCTTTTCTTTCAAAGCCTGTCCCCAATAACATCCTTCCTCCATCCTATCCAGGCTGCACCACCTAAACCTCCCTCAAAGGTACCTCCAACTGGAGATGGAGTGATCAGATGCCTGAGACCATGGGGGAACATTTCTCATTGAAGCCACCACAGATACCGTGGGCATTGCCCAGATGAAAGTCACTACACGACCTCTGTCATGTGGGCAGGACCTTTGAGACTAATGTCAGCATTGGAGGCTGGCCTGCAGCAGTCCCCGTGATGATGACGGTGGCTAAGTGATGACATTCATTCCTCGGTTCCTTCTACCTAAATTAGTGAGCCTCTACTGAGAGGCAAGGCTTCTTTCCACACATTTCAGTGATTAGCCATTCACCCGTGTGTAGGAATCTCAGGGCCCTCAGCCCCCGACTGTAATTCTTTGCTTGTTTTGCAGCACCAGTGAGGTGTGGCCTCAGGTTTGAGTCCCAGCACCCACATTTCAGCCCACAGCCATCTGGAACTCCACTTCCAGAGGATTCAATGCCCTCTTCTGGTTTCCTTGGGCACCATACATTCACATGGTTCATGTGCACACATGTAGGCAAAACATTCATACACATAAATACACAAATCTTAAAGAAATAATAAATGCTTCCACGAAGTAGCTATAGACACCCAGGTGAGATTTACTCCCTATGTGTGTCTGTGTCCGTGCACTAGGGATGGACCTACAACATGCTGCAGAGTAGGCCTGCACACTGAGCCATGCCCCCAGCCCCAGTGCTAGGACAATGGCCCCGGAAGAGGATTTCTACTTTTGATGTAAACGCTCACAACAGTTTAGTTAATTGGGTACACCTTGATGGTTCCTCCAGTGAGTCATGCACGGCGCCCTGTGCCGTGCTGAGTGAGCCCCCACGGGGAGCCTGCAGCCACGCAGCTTCCTGACAAGGGCTCTTCCTCTGCTCAGACTTGTGTGTGTGGCCTGGATGAAACTATAGAGTCAGATCTTCTTTAAGCTTAACTTAGAGATCATTCTCTATTTATAAAAGCAGTACTTTTCTAAAAAATTCTCTCCAACTTCTTTAAATAAAATTTAATTAAAAATTTCAAGTACCATCTTCAAAGGTAATGGAGTTTCTAAAGCACTTACAAGGATGGCTTAAAATTTTAATAAGGATAATTTTAGCCGGCAGTGGTGGCACACGCCTTTAATCTCAGTACTTGGGAGGCAGAGGCAGGCAGATCTCTGAGTTCGAGACCAGCTAGTTCCAGGACAGCCTCCAAAGCCACAGAGAAACCCTGTCTCATAAACAAACAAACAAAAAAACAGAAAAAATTTAATAAGGATAAATTTAAAGGTAGTCTAAGAGATACATTGAAGAGGTTACAAGGTCTGGCACCTACAGTGTCTTAAAGACCACACACAGGGCTGGTGAAAACACAGAACAGTGTCACTCCTGCGGGGATGCAGAGGACATGGAGATAAGCAGCCTTCCTGTTTTTGTTTTTTTTAAGTAGTATCTTGAAACATGCTCACCATCTCAGACCACACCGGCCGCAGCTCAGGACATGTGGGAGCCAGGGGGCAGATAGAACTCCCTCAGGCTTTCCAGGCCAAGCCCTCAGCAGGGTTTGTGAAGAAGATGCTATGGCTCAAATACTTGTGAATCTCGGTCTCCTCCACTTTGGTGACCTCTCCCGGGTCAGGCTTTTAGCTCCTTTACATAATTGTCCTGTAAGCCCCAGCTCTCCAGCCTAGTGTGAGCAGAAGGCCAGCCCTCTAACTCAGGCCGTGCATGTGGCTCTTTTCTCGGCCATACTCAGCCATCCGTGTTTCCTTTCCCTTCCTGTCACACATCTCTTTCTTTGGTTAAATGAATCCCACTTTCTTCCCCGTGACAGGCATCGTCCTCTGAAGACATGGGCAGATGGATTGGCATCTTACTGGCTGAGACGGGGTCATCAACAGATCCGGGAGCCCTGCACTACGACTACATAGATGTGGAGATGTCAGCAAATGTCATACAGACGGCCAAGCAGACCTTCTGGTAAGACTCGTGCGTACCCCGGGGAAGGCCTGAACTAGCAGCATCCTTCTTCTTTCTACTGACAGTAGGTGCTGGGTTAGCGTGCAGAGCAGACGTACACCTGAGGACTTCTCCTCGGTGGGGTGCTGACCCTGATGGCCCTGATGCTGCTCATGTCAGCCCTCTGGGATTTCTGCTAGAGCAGGCTCATCAAACTTGCCTGCTGAGCCAGATGGTCCCTGTTACGGCCAGGAGCTCTGCCTTTGCAGCCAGAGACAATAAGGGGATTGTGGCTGTTTTTATTTGCACCAACAGGTGGTGGTCCTGATTTTGTCCTGTGAGCCACTGGGCAGCTGTTGCCAGCTCCTGCGTGACAGGGCCTTCTAGAAGGCAAAAAGGAGTCTGTGTGTTGTTGAAATAAGGCCCAAGATATTTTTTGTTTTGTTTTTTCGTTTTTTGTGGCAGGGTTTCTCTGTTTGACCCTGGTCAAACTGGAACTCTCCCTGGAGACCAGACTGGCCTCAAACTCAGAGACTCACCTGCCTCTGCTTCCCAAGTGCTGGGATTAAAGGTGTGTGCCACCACAGCAAACCCTAAGATCTTAAGGTCGTCAGTGCAGCACTTTCTAAATTTAAGTTGTGACAAATAATGCTACTTTGTGCAAAAGCATACTTTTGAGCCAGAATGCTTTCTGAATATAATAATAGTGAGGGGTTTGTAGCAGCAGTGGGCCTCAGCCCATTGCTGGCATTCAGCTTCGTGGGCATTCAGCATCATTGGCTGTTCCACAAGTTTTTTTTCATACTACCTGAGATGTGTTCTTCCTCAGCGTTTTGACATGTGCACTGTTGTCCAGGCTGTGGTGGTGAACAGGTTCCTTTACAGCACTGTGTCCCTGGCGTGCATCCCTTCATACACAGTGGCTGTAGGGAATGCTGGATGCATTTGGGGTGGCCTGGGACTAGGCAGACTCCAGTTGTTCTGGTGTTCTGAGTGCCACAGTGAAGCCCCACATTGCCCAGGGGTGCAGAGTTACACAGCAGACATGGGGAGGACTTGCGGGCAGTGGGATGCCCATGGGTTGTCTGACTGCCATTCCAGAATTCCCTGTTTTTACCTTGAAAGACAATCAATGGGCTAGGGATGTAGCTTAGTTGGTATAGCACTTGCCTAAGCATCTCCAAGGCCCTGAGTTTAATCCCAGGCACCACACAAATTGGTGCAGTCTCTAATGAGGGAGGTAGAGGTAGGAGGATCTGAAATTTAAGATCATCCTTGGTTACACAGTGTGTCCAAGACTGTCCTAGAATACATGAGACCACCTCTCAAAAAATAGGACAACTGATAGACTTTGGGCCTTTCAGACATACATAACCGTAGAATGGACCATTGCCCCAGTCACTGTGGGAAAGCAATTAGCAAAGTCTGGTGCCTCTTGGGGTGGCTTACTCAGAAGGTGGTTTCTACATTGTACCAGCACCGTAAGCTCGGCAGCTCCTCAGCTCACAGGGTCCCTTCTGATGGTAAAGTGGCAGGGTCACAGAGTGGGACCTCTCTGGTGTACATAGTGGTGATGTGACAGGATAAGGATCATTCCTTAGGACAGTGCCAGCCTGTGACCTCCAGGTCAGCGCACAGAGCGTCTAACAGCCAGTCACTAAGAGACTGCCACTCTCTAAATTCAGGGCAGCATGGAAGACTGTCCACAGCCACCTGAGAAGCTGTGGGTATGGGTCCCTAACTCCCAGCATCACAACCCTGTGAGGCTACATTTTCCCACATATGTCATCCAAATAGCAGAGTGTGGTCAGCAGGTGCAGAAGCAGGAGCAGAACCCAGTTACCAACCTCAGAGAGATATGTACAGACCTAAAAAACACTGTCCCCTTCTTTAATAGTTTATATCGGAAAAGCTTCACAAACACACATACACACACATATGTATAAATATATATATGTATATACATTAATACACGTATGCACAAATATGTATTAACTGATTAAATATGATAGACTCATGATTATTGTATTTAAATGAGTACAATTTTTCACATTTTCTTTGAGATTCAGTAGGTAGTGGGCAGGAACTCTTCACAGAAGAGCTGGAGCCAGTCACAAGTCCCTTAACACTAGGAATTCTGAACAAAGCATCCTGGACCAGTTGTGATGTGTCCAAATGTACCCACACACATAGGTCTTACCCTGTATCTGACCTCTTTTTTTTTTAAAAGTATTTTAAAAATATTCTGCATGTAATATATTTTGATTGTATTCTTTTTTTCCACAACTCCTCCAAGATCTTCCTGCCCACTCAACTTTATTCTCTCTCTCTCTCTCTCAAAACAAAAAACCAAGAAAACAAAGCAAAGCCCAAAGTCCAAAAGACAAAAACCACCAAACCATAACCAAAAAGGCACACATACAAAAACACCTGGGGTCATTTTTTGTGTTGGCAACTACTCCTGGGCATTGGGCCAGGCCTAGAATGTGGTTGATATTTCTGGTAACATTCCATTGGAGAAAAATGGATTTTTCCCTCTCCTAGAAGCTAAAAACTGCAAATAGCTTCTTTTTAGGGGGTGAAGGTGTTGAGACAAGGTCTTTCTACTTACCTCTGGCTTCCCTAAAACTCACTATATAAACCAGTTTGGTTTCAAACTCACAGAGACCCACTTGCCTCTGCCTCCCAAGTGTTGAAATGAAAGGCGTGAGCCACCATAACTGGTACAAATAGCTTCTTGGGTCATGGTGGAACCTTGTGTCTACCCCCCCCACCCCCGTGCTGGGATTTTGTCTGGTTTAAACATGTACAGTGTGCTGCCACAGTCTCTCTGAGTTCATACATGTATCAGTTCTGTTGTATCTGGAAGACACTATTTCCTCTGGCTCTTACAATCTTTGTCTCTTCCTCATAGATCCCTGAACCTTGAGGGGTTCAGGAATCTACGGAAACATTCCATTTAGAACTGAGTCCTCCAAAGTCTCTCACGCTCTACACATTGTTGTACATCTCTGTGTTAGTAAGAAGCAGCCTTTCTGATAAGGGTTGAGCAATGCTCTGATCTTTGGGGCCAGCAGTATTTCATTAGGAGTCATTTGATTGCTATATTCCTTTAGCAGAATCAGTGTTGTAGGTTTTCCCCACGTACCTATTTACTCTCAGGTTCTTGGTCACTTTAGCAGTGGTAGGTATGAGTTCCATCTCATAGAGTGGGCTTTAATGTCAATTTAAAAAAGGTTGGTTAGTACCATGACATTTGTGCTGCCAATGTGCCAGTGGGCAGACAGATTGCTGTTGTAGGTCAATAGGGTTTGTAGCTGTGCATGTTAGTGATTATTTTTCTCTTCCCGTAGTGCGTATAGTACCTTCCAGCACTATGAGCACAAGTCAGTAGTGGTGAAACTTCCTTTTGGGCACTAACTCTATTTTTTTCTGGGTTTGATGGAATAAGTAAGCCATATCTTCAGCAATAGGATCTCAACATCAGGTTGTGGAAGTAACCAATAGCACTGGCAATATTTGGGGGATTTTTAACTTGATATATTAACAGTTATCTGTACTTATGTGGAAGTTACTAGAATCTCCCAAATAAAACTCACTTCATGTTGACTCCAACCAGCAAACAGATCACCACATCCAGGAGAAACCCTGAATTTCCTGCACATAACTCAGCTTTTCCTTTATAACTGAGCAGAATTTTAATCTAAACCAAATGTGGGGTAGCAGCAGCCTGGAGAAAGGAACGCAGTTGCTGTATCAGACTCTCTTCATTAAAAAGGCGCATGCCATAAACTTAGCCTAGGAATTTTTTTTACCTCATTAAAATCCTTTTAGGGATGTTAGCTAGCAATGAAGTTAATTTTTATGTTTTAGTTTTCTAGCCAAACATTCCCATAAAACTTATACAGAGAGGAGACTGAACAAGGGAACAGCCTTCAAAATATGGTAGCTTGCCAAGGCGATAGATAGTCTGGGATTAAGTTAATTTTTCGCTTTTTACAACTTGGCGGCTGTGTGGTGATTCTTTGCCAAATGATTATGAGAATTATCAGCAATTGTGTCTGACAGAAGGAAAGAAGGTAATACTGTTCTGAACAGAAACAGAAAACAGAGGAAAAACCCTGCAGGACTCTCCCAGGAGACTGGTGTGTGAGTGTGGATGGTGTGGACACATCTTGAGGCTAACCAGAGACAGGTGACAGAAGGACAGCTCTCTGGCACCTCCCCTGCACCTCTCACAAGCGTTGCCATTGCAGGTCTAGCAGAATGCGATGGTGACAATATTGCTTCTGCCTGACTAAAGGGCGACAGTGTGGGGAAAGCCACCTTCCAGCCACCATCTCCAGGTCCCTGCAAGTCTCTGCATTTACATGCAGCAGTGCAATCCCCCCCCCACCCCGTCCCGTCCCCCGTCCCCGGGGTGTCTTTATGTTTTAGATTCAGCCTCTTTTCCACTTAGACACTTGGCTGAAAGTCATTGTAGAAAGAGCACTAGGGGGCAGTGTGAGACCCCTGCCCACTATGGGCACTGCATGCGCGAGTTCTCTTTACTGAGCTGTGCCCCTCTGTAAATTAGGATGTTCTTGTCAGTGGAGAAGGCCTCTGTGTATGTGCTTCTTGAATATTTGGGCATCCCTGTTGGGGAAGCAAAAGTATACCCAGCTAGGGTGCACGTACTCTGTTGACTGTCTTTGACCCTTCCTGATAACTGTGTCTAAGTGTGAGTACTGGGCATGCTGCCGGAACCTGATGCCGCAAAGCCACTGAGGCCCCTGCTGTGTGGAGGGAAAGAGCTATGTGAACACACATGCAGCACTCAGTGTCCAGCAGTGGCGACGTTCAGCACCAGTAGGTGCAGGCACACTTGGCGTCCTGCCGTTCTTCCCAGACAGTCCTCTACCGAGTCTTTTATTCAATGCCTTAAACATGTATGTGAAACATGCAGGAACTCCTAAGTGGCTAGTAAATCGTTCCTTCTTGTATTTTCTCCTTCCCGTGACTTGATGTAGATTAAGTGTAGAATAATCGTATCACTGTTCATGAGCTAAGAAGTCTAAGTCATTGCATTTGCCAGAGGAGCCGTGCTTGCCATCTTCTTCCAGCAGGGGGCAGCAGTGCCCTATGAGAGAATGTGGCCATTAGGCTGTGCAGAGCCACATGGTTGACTGCCCCAAGCTACCTTCCTCAGAGAAACAAAGTTTGGGCGGTAACTTTATGTGAATTTGGTTTGCCCAGTTAGGAGAAAATGCTACCTAGGTTTTCATAGTTCTCCTAAAACAAGCCCAGCTTCCTGAGAGGCCGGCCCATCTCTCCTCATTGTGCTTTGGAGTCTGGAGTGGCAGCACACTTCAGAGGCTTGTGTTCTGGAGGGGAGAGGCCCAGGAGGAGCAGGTACAGCATAGGCCAGGTGGGCATACAAGAGGAAGAAAGTCAGCATCCTGGAGGGAAGAGGGTCAGCAAAGAGGAGGAAGATGCTGGAGCCTCCAGCGGTCCTGACACCATGCCCGCCGGGAAGGAGGAAGCTGGAGGAGCCAGGGGTGGAGCTGGAGTCCGGTGAAGCAGCCTGCCCCTGGTGGTGCTTCACTTGGTTTTCCCGAGGCTTCTGAAGCCCGTGGGTGGCGGTAGGCAGAGGGCTAATGTGCTCTTACTCTCCTCCGGGAACATGGACGGGGAGGAGAGGCAAGCTGTCCTTTCTCTATATGTACACTTGTTCTTCTCTGGTCGACCCGTACGGGCTCCTCTCACACAAGGTGACAGAAGGCCCAGTTCTCTGTGAGCTCCAGCAGGGGGCCACTGTGGGGCAATTCTGACACTGTCCACCAGGACACAGTGTCAGGTCCTGAAGATCAAAAGCTTTGCTGCCCAGGATTCTGTCCATTTCAGACGTCATTCACAAATCCAGTTTGTCACCCATGCTCATTAAAGAGCAGATGTTAACATGAGATTCTCACAACAACACAGACACTTCTTAGACCCCAGGAGGTGGTTTGTTTGCTAGGCCACTGGAGTGTTAGGAATGCCCCAGCAGGAACTCTTGGGTAGGAGGGGCAGAGGGGCAGCTATGGGGTACAGGAGCTGCCCCTCTTCCCGCTATACAGTGCTCTGCCTGGATCTGGCACCTTCCTTGGGGACGCATGCCTTCTCTAGGTGTGGTGACTTCCCTGGGTGCAACACTTCCCTTGGATTCAGTGCCCTCCGAGAGTGAGCACCTTCCCTGGATGAACCACCTTCCTGGTGCCTCCAATCCAGAAGCTCTTCCACCCTCAGAGCCGAGAGTCCCTGACTCTGATCACATAGCTGTTTCCTTAGCCGCTAGCACCCCCATCCTCAGATCCTTCAGGCTTTCCAGGGAGAGTGAGCAGCTCATTTTGATGGGCAAAGGTGGCCTGTTTCCCATTATCATTAGGGAATTCCAACGTTTTAGGGGCTCTGACCAAGTACAGGAACCAAGACCCAAGCATGTATGCCATCTGTATCCCAGCAGCACAGGCTGCTGAAGCGTGGCTCCTTTGGGACCTTCAGAAGATCAGGGACCAACTGAAGGTGTGCTTTGTGGCTGCCAGAGCTCAGTGAGCGCTTGGGGAGCAGCCAGGAACACCCCACAGAAGGCCAGGGAGTGTTGTGGCCCTGCTGTCCCTCGACGTTGGGAGTGGACAGACTGCGGACAGACTGAAACTAGCTCATGATGTGAGAGGACCAGCCTTTCAGAAAGAGCTGCTGAGCCCTCTCTGAGTGTGTGCTTTCTCTGGACATGGGCCCCTCCGCTTGTAGGTGTCGTGGTGTTTCCCCATGCATGGTGTCCATTGTCTGTGCTGGGGCTTGTCTTTGCTCTGGGTGAGGATTGGCCCAAGTCCCTTGAAGATGGCATGTGCTTCTGCCTAAGGGCCCTAAGGGTTCTGCCGCTGAGCCTGACGTAGCCTTCGCTTGCATCAAAGTTCACAGAGGCTCTGCTGACTAACTGGTGTGTCTATGTTTTCTCCTTCTCAGCTTTATGAACAGGCGGGCAGTGTCCACGAGCCCATACCTGGGGAGCATCTCCAATGGCTACGCCCACCCCAGCGGGACAGCACTACACTACGATGATGTCCCCTGTGTCAACGGCTCGGTGAGTGTCCTTCAAGAGCCAACGTCAGTCTTGTTAGGAGACAAATTGCTAGTTGGTTCTGTCCTGGAGTACCTAGTTTTCCATGCTAGTGAATTGAGATTGAGAATTATACCACTTCTCCTCCAAACCCTGGTTTCTGAGGAACATGTGATCCCCAGTAGACAGTTCATCTGCTCGTTACCATCGCATCACCCGAGACAGAAGATAGTGGATTAAGTTAGAATAAATAGTTGGAGCTGAAAGAATAGTCAGTTTCACAACTTAGATCAGTCAGACTCAACACATGTAAGTTACCCTGGCTAGTTACGCCCAGTACAGCTGCAGGCGCCATCCGGCCATCAGGCAGAGACAGTGCCCTGGAGTGACTGCCCGTTGCACTCTTGGATGGCTCCTGGCATGGCTGGTATGGAGCACTCACATGTGAACGTGGGCATGCTCTGTGGCAGCATCATCGTCAAGCCTGCCTCTAGGTGTGTCTGTCCACCCTTAGATTTTACTTTTTCTGTTTTGTCCAATGTTTCCAGATCATTAGCAGAGCCCTGCTGGGTCTCTATTGTTTGGCTGATGGCTGTGTACCGTGTACCTTTGGTGGCCAGGCCTGTGCCTGCCTGTGCCGTGAGCAGGTGTGGAGAGTATGTGTACGAAGCCTTGTGCTGAGAGGAGCCAGGCCTTGTTTTAGACTCGCATCCTTGCTGGTGCCCTCTGTCCTTTGCTCTGTAGCCCTGTGGACACACCTGTGCTTACCCTAGGGACTACATCTGGTGGGTGCTGTGTGCAGGGCTCTCAGCCAGCCCGTGCATCATCATGGTCCCCAGCCCCCTCCTCCCCATCCTTGCCATTGCATCGTTTTCAAGGTGGCGCCTGTATCCGCGCAGCCCCAGCATCACTGTGTGGGCTTGCTTCTGAACTCCAGCGTCTAGGCTCCTGTCAAGGGAGAGCTGCCCCTCCCAGCCTGTGGCCTCAGCAGTCTTCTGCCTCCACATACCCACACACCACACACACACAAGCAGCAGGTGAGCAAGGTGCCTCAGGGCCTGGCGAATCATACCATGCTCATGTGTCCCAGTCACCTGCAGGGCAGACACTGATGATGCTGGCTCAGGCAGCCTCAGTGCGACTCCCCTGGCTCACCCATGGCTTGACGTGTGTTTGGAGATCAACTGCTCTGTGCTAAGGAGCCCTCCCCACATGCGTGCGCAGGGCCTTAGGAGCTGAGACATAATGCCTTGCGTGCGTGTGTCCTGCCTTTTCGTTCCCTCGTGGCTTCCTGCTCCGGCTTCCTCAGCCTGTTTCCTGTGTGTAGGCCTCTGTTACCACATGACTGCGTTTTGGAGGCTTCATTTCCGGGTTCCATAAAGTCTACACTTTATGACCAAAGGCTCAGAGTGTCAGTACTGTTTCCCCTATAAAAATTCTGTTCATTCTGTACTCCCTTTGATTCTTTGAGAAGGAAGGGCTCTGCACACACTCACCTTTATTCTAGAAACTTCTGTGGGATTTCATCACTGTTTACTAAGTATTCCACATGACTTGATCCTTGCTATTTTAGGAAAATGAGAGTCAAGTGTAGACCATTGTATATCTGTGCGGCTGTCACTGAAATGCCCCATCCTGGCTTTTCTACGTTGTTTTAGGTTGTTCGCTTGTCCCTAGCATCACAAAAATAGACCTGATATGGCTGCAGAAGAAGACACCCCCACCCCGGGATTTTAGGCCTTTCCTATTTTTATAACAAAGGGCTGCAATTATAGTCTGGCAAGAAGGAGCACTGCAAAAGGAGAACATAAAAACAGGCTGAAATGGGCAGAATATATGAATTAATATTTCCTTTTATAACGCAGGGCAATTTACAAAGACCTTTAAGCCCTGAAGGGATCTGGCAGCAGTTAAGAGTTTGGGGTTTCTTTACACTTTCCTGCCAGTGCTCTGGAGTCCCTGTGTCCTAAGAAGTGGCTTTGAACTGTTAACTCTTTGTTCAGGTCCTCTGCTAGCATAATGTCACTGTTCCATCGACGTCTGAAGCACCCTGCATTCTGTGACAACGTGACTTCTGTCTTCAGCCGGCCTTTTTGGCTGTGACAAAAGATGCTCAAGTGTAGAATTTAGATTATATTGACCTTGATGGTGAATTTGTTGGCCACAAGGCAGCATGGATGAACTTAGGGTATCCTTGACATGGGTCATGTTCCTCCATCAGAGCCTGAAGCTCTGTGGCAGCACAGTGTGTGGCCATGAGCTAGACTCTGCCCAGCTCTGCCTTTCCTCAGTTTCCCCTGCTTGCCAAGCAGACGCTGTGACACGTAAACCAGTGTGTCCGGAACACAACAGGTGCCATGGCCCTTGCTCATGATCTCACGCATGCCTTCCTGTGCAGCAAAGAGCTCCAGGCACTGCCCAACTCCCCTGACCTCACTTCCTGTGCGTCAGCTCAGAACTCTTCATTTTGAAACACAGAACAAAACCATCACAATCCAATGACTCTGGGAACAATTCAAGGACAGAGAAACCTTTCTCATGACTCCAAAGGCGAAGGGGCCCTCATAAAGCCGCCCACAGCTGTGGGAGTTGTGCCTGCCCTATGTGTGTGTGTGCGGGACATGCAGAGCATTGGGGGGCGGCTGACTCTCGCTATGCTGATCTTCTCTGTCCTGTCTGGCCACTAACGAACAGGCTGTGTGTGTTGCAGTGGGACATGGATGGCGGCTTTCCTGGCTGTGGGAGCGGAGGCCTGGCGGACGAGGTGCTTTATGATAACGCGGGCCTCTACGATAACTTGCCATCGCCGACAATCTTTGCTCGATCCTCTCCTGCTGACCGGAGGGCGTCTCGGCCACCCGCTGACAGGCTGTCCTCTAACCACTACAAATCCCCCACCTCCTGCAGCCCACCTTGCTCCCCACCTGTCACTAACACCTCTTCTGTGGGGAGGGCATCTCTCGGGCTGCACTCCCAGGTACAGATTGCGTTCACAAACTCCCTGACATCACCAGTGGACCTGCGGTGACCGTGTACTCGCCTCCTCTCAAACACCAGAGTGCCACAGTCTTCAGCCATAGCCTAATCCACAGTTAGCCACTAAGGGACTGGAGAGCCATTTGTGACCAGCTCCCAGCTTGTCTGGTTCCTGTCTGGCTACCCCATCCCCACTCCTGGAGAATTCCCAATTTCACTTTGAGAATTATGTCAAAGATTATGAAAAGAGGCCATGCAACTTTCCACAAGATTCTGGAATGGCAGGTTTCTCTAGTATAGTCTATCTTGTGTATATATGAACAAGGGTTTTCCCTGGGGAGTGGTTATTTTCAGTCTGTAGGCGTGGCCAGCACATTCCAAGAGCCAGTGTGTTGCCTGGGAGAGTATAACATGTGCCCTGCACCTGTGTGACGGGAGGGCTCTGATTCTGGGTGGCAAATAGGCTTGTGGCTGAACCCCTGTTCGCACTCTCTGACATGCATCAACGTTTCAGAGCAGACACCAACTGCCTTCATGAATTTTTAACCTAAGTGTTTTGAATGCTCTGCCTGGAGTTCTGAGTGCCTCATTTAAGAACACTCTGAGAACATAAAGGAAGAGGCTAGGCTTTCCACATTCTGGTCCATTCTTTGGGTAGTTTTGAGAAAATAACAGATACTAGTCAGGGTCTAGGCTTCCAGATAGTGGTGACTCATGGTTGTACCTCCAGACATTGCTTTGTCAGAACTGACTGCAGGAGTCCGAGGGGTGTGGACCACTGAGTGACCAGTGTGAGGCCATTGGCCTCTGCCAGTGTCATAGGATCGCTGCCCAGATCTGACCACTGGGTCCTACCTATCTGTCTGTTTGTTGGTGTCAGAGTTGTCTCTGGTTAGCTTAGTAAATCTGCTACCCGTGCATTTGGATTTCTCCCGCACTAGTCAGGAACCACACAATGCATGGTGTGGCACTGCCACTGTCACTCAGCCTGGTTTCTGTTTCAAACAGGAAACAGTCCCCAGCTGAATTCTAGTGCCTTTACTTGTCATGACCTTGTGTGGCCATTCTTTTGGAAACCTGTTAGTGGTGAGACCATACATTCAGAGAATTCCTGGATGCCATCTTGTGTATGGCTGTGCAGTACCATTTAGGAGTCCTGTGGGAGGTGCCAGTGCCTTTACATTTTTTAAGTGAGCAAACAGAGGTTTCAGAAGTCTTGAAGGACTGGCTCAGAGTCCCCTTAATGACAAGCCAGAATTGCAGCTAGATCTGTGTGCAGCCTCACACTGTGCCTCCAACAGAAGAGGTTGGGGGGAGAATGGCAGGGTCTAAGTGTCACGTTCCCTTTATATCAAGCTCACTGCCTGGCATGTAGTGTCACCTGCCAGATATGAAACTGTGGCTTGCAGGGTAAGCAGGGGACTGTTGGATTTTCTTTACGCCTGTAGCTGGTCAAGGCTTGCTTTATGTGTGTTTATGCTATTTCTATATATGTGTCTCTTGCATCCTTCCTCAGACCCATCAGTGATCTGAAAGGAGGTTATGTATCCCATTATTGCATCACTCAGTTAAGGGCAAGAACTTCCCTGCAGAGCCAGGCCCTTCCCTTAGTAGCAGCCCCAGTAATAGAAAATCGATTTAGCTCTAGAAATACAGGCTCTCAGAGGTTGCTGCTGCAATACCTGTGCATGGTTACTCAGACGCTTTCCTATCAGCACCCCGAGGCCCCAGCAGAAACATAGCATCCTTCCCATTGCAGACTTCCTGGTAGTCCTGGGTGTCCCGCCTTCAGTGCTGGAAGCTTCCCAACTGTCATAGGGAAGTCACAGTAGCTGGAAACTGAGTTGGTTTCCTTTGTCCTCTGATCATGCTGGTAGGTTATACGTAAGAGTCAGACTAAAAGAGATACCTTTAGGCAAAAGGGTGCTTTTGTTTCATTATTTTTAACGTTCTCTGTGTGTTTCAACAGTTGAAGAGCAAGAAGCCTCCAGTGGCATCTAATGGGGTTCCTGGAAAGGGGAAGGCTCCAAGCAGCCAGCAAAAAAAGGTGGATTCAGCAGGTGGCGTGAAACGGACAGCATCCAGTGAGTTTCCCTCTGGCTCCCTGCTTTCTGCTTTGGTAAAGCTTGCCGGCTTGAGCCACTCCTACCCCAGAGGCCGGGTTGGGGGTGTGTTGGGAGGGGGCAATGTGCACCCCTCCCTACTGGCCAGGATCTTTAACCCAGCTTCTGTGAGTGTTGCTTGGCTTCTTGATATAGCGTTCAGTCACGAGGCACTGGGGCTTTGGTCCAGGAGATTCCAGTTTGTGTCCCTAGCACACCATTGACAAGTGGCATAGACTGAAGGCAGCCACTGCCTCTGTGAGATGTGCAGATGGCCGACCACTGTGGCTGACGCAGTGCAAAGGGTGATGCTGGGCACTGAAAGCAAAGTCCCTGGTGCTCAAGGACACAGGAGGGAGGCCTCGCTGCCAGCTCCTCACAGACTCCTGTCACAGTCTGCAGCCAGCGTCTTCCTCTGACATCCGATAGCTGTGCTGTCAGGGTAGGTGGTATGCACCCCTTTACACAAATGAGCGAGGCACCCCAGGTAGAACAGGACAGCCAGAGGTCTCACAGCAGGCCAGCCTCTGAGCTAGAACATGGACTAGGCCTTCAGACTTCAGAGCCCACTGTATAGACCAAACAGACTGCCTGGGAGTTCAGCAGCTAAGTTGGGGTGTGCTGGGTTCTTGAGTTTGTTTGCCCAGCCCTCAATGCATTGGGCGGTCCGTCAACCATTCAGCCAGCCTGCCAGTCGGTGGGGTGTATTCACTCAGGACACTCCACTTGCTGCTGGGGATCTAGTAAGAAGATCATGGCAGCTTTAAAAGGCAGGCCTAGGAGCCGCAAAGGGGCTCCACTGGTCCTGGGGCTCCTCCATCAGTCTGAGCCAAGCAGGGAAGTGTCCATGCCAAATCATGACGAGCCACTGTCACTTGGGATTCCTACCTGAGCATTCCAGTCTGCAGTCAGGCAGTTGGTAGACCAACCTCCATGATAGTGTAGACAAGGCTAGCTCCCTTCACCTGGGGTCCTCCACACCCACCTGGTGCAGGAGCAAAGGGGCCTCAAACCTGCACATGCTGGTATCTGCTTTAGTCAGAGTACACAAGGGCAGAGAAAAGCTATGTTTTTCTGTAGCCAGAGCATGCATGAGCCTTGGGACTTCAGCAACACTTGGCTGCTTCAGCCCCAGAGAACCTTTGCTCCTTAGCAGGATCTTGTCCATGCCTCTGCTTCCAAACCTGCATTTCAAATAGGCAGATCAGGGGCCTGTCAGACTGGCTCCTCGTTGCCACTGACTCCATTTGGCCCCCTCTCTGTAATTTCGTTCCCAATGCCTTGGGTGTTTTCACACTCTTGTTCTTCGTGTTGTTCATTCAGGGAGGTGCAGGAGCCAGAGGGATGAGTCGGCCTAAAATGCCTTGTTAAGCAAGATCTGAATCCCATGTGGGCTCCTTCAGCCAGGCATTTCTCATGGCCCTCTGCTCAATTTTATTTTATGGATGATTTATCTCAATATCTGGTGGGACCTTCTGTAGGGAATGCTTTATTAACTTTGGTGACATCTAATGGAAACAAAAGAGAAAAATAATCGCATCTTGTGCTTTTGCGGAGTTCAGCCAATTGCATTACAGTTGTATAGAGTTTATTGCATGGGGACCAAATGGTGGGGAAATTTATAAGCTGTCATCTGTAGATTTGTCAGGGGACATATTGGTGTAGACAGTGGAGTTTGTACAGTTTGTCTTGGAATTTTCTGGAAGTACCTTGGTTTCGTGAGATAGGGTGGTTATCCTTGGGTTGTGGATCTGGCAATATCAGTTTATAGGGTTTTTTTTGGTGAGGGAGGGAATGCTGACTGGACATAGGAAATCCATAAATCCCCATGAATGTGGCAATTACGGAAGAGGTGATGGTAGAGCTAGCTCAGGGCAGCACTGCATGAGCAAGCCTCTGACAAGCCCGTCATCTCTGGTTGCCGTGGGGGCTGCCTGTGAGTGTCTGCTCCATCCCAGGCATCTTAGCACACAGTTATCGGTTAGAGACACGCATCTACTTTAAAGACTCACACAACATCCCTTGTCCCTCCGTGTCTTCTCCTATGGGCAGCGACAGAGGGGCAGGTGTGATGCAGCCACCATTGGAGCTGGCAGGTGACGCAGCCACTAGAGATGACGGAAGCCTCACAGTGAGCCCTGGCCAGTCATGCTAGGCTCTCTAGCTCCTCAGCATCCTTCCAGAGATGCTTTTCCTAAATTCCAATCTGGCCACTTGAAGTTCCCCACAACACACTGTGGCCTGAAACTGTAGGCCAGACTGAAGAGACTGTGGGGCCTGGGTCCAACGCTGTGTGTACTGCTTGCTATGTGCTGGCGGCCAGGGTGCTGGGTTTCCCCCAAGCTTTTACTTATTCACTCATTCATTGTTCATTCACTCATTACATGTATCAGTCATCTATAGAAGACTCATTTGGGGAGTTACTTTAAGTGCTTTGTAAATATTAATTGAATTCTTATAGATGCCTATGAATGACCTGCTCTTAACCCCATTTCACAGGAGGAGAAACTGGGGCACAGATTTGTTCTAGGTCACAGTGCTCCAAGATTGTTCTCTGAATATTAGGTCTCCAGGCATCATGTACTGCCTTTCTGCCTTTTCATTCAGTGGGGAATCCCTCCCTATCTGCTTCATCCAGGCCAGAATCTCAGGCCAAAGAGACATCTTCCCTCCAGTCAGAGCAAAGCATTCTTGTAATTACACAAATGGGAGTGAGGAGAGGCTATGCACACAGACTGCATAAACTCTAGGTTTTTTAATTGATTTATTTTCATTTCTGTGTGTGTTTTGCCTACATGTATATCTGTGCACCCTGTGTATGCCCAGCAACTAAGGAGGGCAGAAGAGGGTCTTGGATCCCCTGGAACTGGAGTTACAGATGACCGTGAGCTGCCATGTGGGCGCTGAGACTTGAACTCCAGTTTCTAGAAGAGCAGCCAGTGCTCTTGACCACTGAGCCATCCCTCCAGCCCCAGCAGAGGTTGTTTTTGACAGTAACAGATGGTTACTAGTTTCATTTCTTCTGCTGTAACAAATAGCAGTTTAGGGAAGACAGAGTTTACAGTTACAGGTTACAGTGTGTTATTGTGGAAAAGTCAAGGCAGGAACTTAAAGCAGCCAGTCACTTCACATTCAGTCAAGCACAGAGAGAATAAACCCATGGTTACCTGCTTGATGTCTAGTACGCAGCCAGCTTTCTCTGCTCTTACACATTCCAGACCCCAGCTCGTGATGCCGTGCCACACACATCTAGGGTGTGTCTCCCCAGCTCAACTAATAATCAAGATACTCCCTCACAGACATGGCCATAGGCCAAACTGACCAGATAATGCCTCATTAAGATGCTTTTCCCAGATGACTCTAGACTGTATCAGGTTGACAGTTAAAACTGTCCAGGTCACTGCCTGCCAAGGTTCCAGCATCTTTACTCTGAGTCTTATTGACAATTACTTGAAAGCTGAGGGGGAGGAGCACAGAAGGGAGGAGCCCTTAAGGGATTCCCCAGTATTCATCTCTATTTATTTATTTTTTTTGTTTGTTTTTTTTTATTAATATTTTTTTTATTTTCCATTTTAAATTTAGATAAGAAACAAGGTTGCTTCTCATCTCTATTTATAAATGTACAGATCAAAGTATCAGAGGATTTGAGGCAAGTCGCTAGAGTCCCTGCTCCAAGCCTCTCTTTCCCCTCAGGACCAGCTGGGAGCGGCTCTTGCAGTACTCTGAAGAACTGCTGAGCCTCAGGCCTTGGCAGCCTGAATCCTCTGGTTACACTAACGCTTGGTGCTCCTTATTTAGATGCTGACCAGTACAAATATGGTAAGAACCGGGTGGAAGCAGACGCCAAGCTGCTACAGTCCAAAGAGGAGGAGCTGCTGAAGAGGAAAGAGGCCCTGCGGAACAGGCTAGCACAGCTCCGGAAAGAGAGAAAGGACCTGAGGGCCGCCATCGAAGTGAATGCAGGTGGGAGGGGTTGGCCCTGATGGCCCATGCACCTGTGTCCCTATCGTTCGTTCAGCTCACCCTCAGACCCGTGAGCCACAAGGGAGCATTGCCTCCTGGGGTGCTGGCCTCGTGGGGGAGCTCAGGGCAGCATGGGGTTGGTTGAGCAGTGCCCCCATAGGCAGGGGCTGTGACCTGACCCCAGCTGCACAGTGTGACACCAGCAATTTCAACCTCAGCTGCTGAGAGCCAAGAAGGTTGGCAGGTTTTGTTCCTTGTCTGAGGTTGGGGCTTCTGTGGAGGAAGGCAGTCACCGGGGCAGAGCAGTTTTCACTGGGCTCTGCCTAGGAAGAAGTAGCTCTCTATTCTTAGAAAGGCCTGGAGAGAACAAGGCTGTACCAGGATTTGGGGATCAGGGGGAAAGACTATGTTCATGGTCCTGAACAAGGGACAGCTGTCACGGTAGTGGTGTCTGGAGACGAGTGGTACCCAGGCCCAGGCTGTGCCTTCCTCTTGCCAGACCTCCCAATCTGGGATGAAAACTAACCTCTCCCTCTGATCCTGGCTGGCACCCCACAGAGGCATGGCTGACTTTTTAAATTTAGCTTCTGCCAGCTGAAAAGGGGAGATGAGCAGCAGATGAGGAAGCCCAGAGGGGACATTGGTTTCCAGAAGGTTTCAGTGCAGGCTGAGGCTGGTGCAGATGCCCATCACAGTTAGCCAGAACTGAACTCTGTCCAAATCATGGCTGCTCGGGGAAGTAATTTTAGGAGCGGAGAATAGGAAGGGAGGTGTGTGTGGGCCCTTGGGATAGTCTGCAGGAGCAAGTTGGGCAGGGTGTCAGTATCAGGCTGCCTGGGAGAGATGGAAAGCTGAGTCTGTGACATGGAAGGAGCTTGGTATATCGACTGGCTTCTCTACCTGCCTGTGTCAAGGCACAGGACAGAGATGCAGAAAGGCCCCCAGCTCTGTCCTCAGAGGCCAGGCTCCCCGTGTCTGTGTCCTGAGGCTTGGTTTTCTTTGTTCATTTCTGTGCATTTCCTGCCCATATTGGTCACCAAACCAAATTTCAAATACGTAAGTTAACTGGAGAAATATATGCTAAGTCCTACAGAGACGTACACCATGTTTTTTTTGTTTGTTTGTTTTTTGTTTTTTTTAACCACTGCAGCATATACAATAGCCCACACATAACTGGTAGAATTTGAGACCTCCTTGTTCAATGTCCCAGTCGGGGGCCCCTTTGGGCCACCATGCCCTTTTAAGTGAGTGTCGAGAGGCCCCTGAGGCTTGTGAGTGGGATCAGGCTGGTGGGAAAGACCTGGAAGAACTCAGCTATGTCCGTCCCTCTGTGAGGTGACCATGTGTCCCTGGGATCTTAGGCAGGAAGACCCAGGTGGCCCTGGAGGAGAAGCTGAAGAGGCTGGAGGAAGAGTGCAAGCAGAGGGAGGCAGATCGGGTCAGCCTGGAGCTGGAGCTGACTGAGGTCAAGGAGAGCCTGAAGAAGGCCTTGGCAGGTGGCGTCACCCTAGGACTGGCCATCGAGCCCAAGTCGGGGACATCAAGTCCACAGGTAAGTGACAGCACAGGGAAGAGCCCCACGGTCTCTCTGGCAGCTCTCTCACTACCATGGGTGGCATCCAGCTAACGTTCCTACTGTGTGCAACGTGTGGATACACTGAACTCTCTTAGAGTCACCAGAGCATTTAAAGGCCGGTGCTGAGTCCATGTCTCTCCTCTGCATGGTCAGATCTGACTTGATTCCAGATTGCTAGGCTGTAACTCATTCCCGTGAGCCCCTGACAATACTACCAGGTGTCTAGAAGCTGAGGTGACAGTAACATGGTCTGCTGAGGTGACAGTAACATGGTCTGTGTACCTAAGTCTGTCACGAGGGAATCACCCGTGAAGTCTGAACCCCTCCCTTTAATCATGGCTCCTCATCCTCACATGACTCAGCCAATGAACCTCGCTATGGCCTTCAGAGGCTTGGGCTGGGTGTTCGTGCTCTGCTGCTTCCTTGCCTCCTGAGGGTTCTCTCTATGCACTGTGGTTGCCATCACCTCCTGGCATTGGTGGCAGCTGTATAATTGTGACCAGACCACTTCCTCAGAAGAGTAGCTTGTTAGGCAGGCGCTTCTGCTGTAGACAGCTTACTGCCTGGCCACCTCCAGAGACGCCCCCTTTGTACCAGCGACCACACCCACCCAGAGTCAGTGCTGCCTCTGAAGATGTCCAACAAGGAAAGATCTATATTACCAAAACATTGAGCTGGGAGTGCCCCAGTCAGGAGCACTCACAGGGGTTCTGGGTCAGCCTCCTGTGTATCCCAAAGCATATTTTCAGGGTTCTGTAAGTGATGATAACATGGTCTCCACAGTGCCACGCTTTCCCAAAGGGCAGTTTGCGATCTTATGCAGAAGAGCCAGGAAGCCAAAGCCAGGCCCAAGGCAGCTAAAGAGATGAGTTGTTTCGTTATAAGCTTTCCAGAAATTTCTCTCCAGCATGTACAAAGAGAGAGTGGTTACAACCTTCAGTGCCACTTGGGGGCCACTCATCATCCCTGGACCCCAAGCTGATGCTGTCTGGTCATGGAAGCTTCTGCCACAGGCCTGACCCTTTCAGTAGCAGGCAGCTCCAGGAGACATTCGCAGACTCAGGAAGCACCATGTGGATGAGAGGTAGTGAGGGTAGGAGTGTGGGCCCGAGTCCTGTCTCTTGGTCTTCCATCCCTTGGCCTCAGCTTTTCTTTCTTCTCTTAAATGATTTGTCTAGAGGTGCTCAGGCACTGGCTGTAGTGATCCTTCCTAGTTTTGCCCATTTCCAAATCAATTTCTTCATTACCAAACGATTTTTCCCCGAGAAATGCCAGTGGCTGAGAACCACCCCCCTCACAGGGCTCTCTCATTAACAGTCTCCTGTGTTTCGGCATCGGACTCTGGAAAATTCTCCCATCTCCAGCTGTGACACGAGTGACGCTGAGGGGCCCCTGCCTGTGAACAGTGCAGCCGTCCTGAAGAAGAGCCAGCCATCCTCAGGCAGCTCCCCTTGCCGTGGGCACGTGCTGCAGAAGGCCAAGGTGAGCGTCCCTGCAGAGCGCGGTGCCCGCACCTAAAGTGAACCCACTGCACTCGGCCTCTTCCAGCTCCCACACACATCCGTAGGGACGAGGGTTCAAAGACAACCATCTTCCAGGTGGACAGACTCATCCCCTTGGGCTTGTCCTCCTTTGGGCAGCACAGATTGGGCTGAGTGACCACAGAGTCCTTTCTAGCACTTACATGCTGTGATTCTCCAAAGAAGAAAAAGCCAGAAAGGCATTTTTCTTTCCAGGCTGTCCCCAGAACCCTGGCCATCAGCCCAGAGTCCCTCTTCCCCTGCAGTCAGGGAGAGGAGCCACCAACAACATTGCCATGATTAAATCCTAGGGATTCCCAGAGCATAATTTCCAGAAGACCAGAGCCAGCACTTTTCATCCATGGTGATGGAAGCAACTGTAGGTCAGCCTGAGCTGACCTGGGAATGGATAGGACATGAGTCCAGATGGAGGGGGCTGAGCAAGCACCCCACACTGTCTCAGGGTCTCATAGTACTGGCCCCGATGTGCCATTCCTCAGCCCAAGCCTGTTTCTCAGCAGCTGGAAGCACATTGCTTTCAGCAGGCAGACTGCATGCAAGGCTGTGTTCTCAGGGTGTCCTGGGATGGTAGCAGGAACTTTGCTTGCCCAGGCTCTCAGTGTGTGTGCTTTCCCAGAGAGCATGCTTTCTAGAAGGCTCCGTGGGCTAGATGGGGAAGAAGGTTACTGAGTTGGCGTTCTAGTGACTTCCCTGAACATTCCTTAGGCCTTCTTAGTATACAGCCAGCTTCTCCTTGCAGAGGACCACTTTGCCTGAGCCATGTTAGAATGGAGCTGTGTGGTTCCCCTCCAGGTTTCTTTGCCATCAGAGAAGAGGTAGGAGAAGTCAAGCTGTGCTATGAAGTAAAAGGCTCCCGTGGCTCAGGCTTTTCAGCCCTGTCTCCTTCTGATGATGAACATGAAGTCTGTGACTTCCAGAGTTAGACACAACCACCCCCAGACAGTTCCCAGACAGCACAGAAGGGAGGTTCCGCTTCTGGTCACAGTTGCAGTACACAGACAGGAGGTGCAGAGGTTCTTGTCACTGCAGCTGGTCTCTGTGACACAGCCTCAAGAGTGGACTTGAGCAGGATGACCCTCGTGCTGGAGGGGCTCCACTAGACATGAGGTTGGGCTTTGGACATACTGACTGGATTGACAAGTCTCTTGACTTTTTTAGAATTAAAAGTTCAAATGTAATTAATGGCTGATGGCACAGCACTGGCAGAAATAAGAGCCTAATGGAGCTGTTGGCAGAAACAAAAACACGCACTGGGCGTGGAGGGTGACGGTGGGGGTGTACCACAGGCTTAGCTCACCAGTGGCTTGGTTCTGCAAAGGGACGTGCCTGACTAGATTCCTCTTCTCAACCTCCACAGATACCTCCATGGTGGCTGAGAATAGGCGCTGAGAGGACCATATCTGAGGGCAGCATTCAGGGCCTGCTGCCATTCTACCCACCCATTCATCTACCCGCCCACCCACCCACCTACCCATCCACCACCCGTCCATCCACCCCCCTCCCATCCATACATCCACCCACCCACCCACCCATCCATTCACCCATCCATCCATCCATTCACCCATCCATCCATCCATCCATCCATCCACCCATTTACCCACTCACCCACCCACCTACCCATCCACCACCCATCCATCCACACCCTCCCATCCACACATCCACCCACCCATTCACCCACCCACCCATCCATCTACACCTTCCAACATTCACTTTCTTGTGGTAAAATAAGCAGAGCCAACCTGACCAATTGGCAACTTCCAAGTGTGTGTCTTGGTATCCACCCACAGAACTTTATCTTCCTAGACTCTGTCCCTGAAACACCAACACCACCTTCTTCCCTTGTCCCTAGTACCCACTATGATACTTTTTGTCTCTATGAATTGGACTTCCTCATAAATAGACTCAGCTTATATGTGGTCTTTACTTACACGATATCCTGGAGATCCATGATGAATCAGGGGTCAGTGCTCCCTTCCTTGTTCGGCCTGATGAGTACCCCGTGTCTGGAGGCCGCATTTACCTGTTTGCCCCTGTTGGTACTTGGATCGTGTCTATCTCTGACTGGCTACATAGAAGCGGGTGCTTGGCAATTATTTTGTTCAGAGGGAACCTGCACTCCGCTGAGCCCCCACACTGTGTCGGACCATGGTGGCTTGTGGAGGCTTATGACAGCCAGGTTCAAACCCCCTAATTTACAAATCTCTCTTCTTCAGGAGTGGGAGCTGAAGAATGGGACATAGAGAGAGACCAGCTGCACCCAGACAGAGACGGCATACTGCCACCAGCCTCAAGTGTGACATGTGTGCCTCCCAAAGTGCCCTGAGCATGATTTCAGAAGTTTGGACTGAGTCTGATGCTGACCCGTGGCCAACCTGTGTGCGCACTTCCTACTGTACGACGGTGCCCTTTAGGAAAGTTTACTTTACGACTTTGGTGTCCAAATTTACTTGTTAAAAAGCAGAAACAAAAGGGGTTGACAAGTTGTTCTGAAGTACCCTCTGGCAGATGGGGCAGTCAAGGTTCTGAGGACCACAGCTCAAGCCTAGCTTGGACCATGTGTCCCTGTGAAATGGAGCGGCACAGGCCTTCACCACGTGCAGCCAGAGCCGCACACATCGCCCTGTTGCCAGAGGGTCCTGCTCTGTGGCAGCATGAACGCCTTGTGTCTCTGTAGCCCCACACCCTACCCTGCCTGCCCCCTTGTCACTGGAGGTGAAGCCATGAGGAATAGTGCTGTGAAGCGATTTTTAAGGTTTGATTTTGTTTTTGGATACATACTTTTGTCACCAGGATGGAAAAATTATCATTCTTTTTACTAGTGTTTTTCATTTGTTCTCTTTTAAAGAAAATGTCCCTTTTTTATCATGGCTATGCTTGGATTTTAGGGACTTTTCAGAGACCCTGTTTCCCATTTTATGATGTATTTTGAGAGGCAGCACAGAACTTTAAGTCCTTGGCTAGTAGTTACCCCTTCCCCTTGACCTGAGACCCCAGCCTCCCCTGCTACTGGGCAGGAACTCCTCAGCCCAGAAGGCGCACTGGTAGATCTAACAGTCCAGGCCAGAGCTTCCTTTGGAAACAGAGTAGGTTTGAGAACCTATAGTCAAGCCTGGACCATCTTTGAACGGAGATGAATCTTTCCAGAGCACTTCCCTCTAGTTTATAGTTGAAGCCGTGGGATCACAGGTGCACTGCCATGCCAAGGTTCTGGCTGTGTGGGCCTCCTCCACTGTCCTGCCTACTCTGTGCACTGTTTCCTGGAGAGTTCAGATGCTCAATATGTTCAGCCTATAGCTTGTGGGCTTCCAGGGTCTAGACCTTTCCACTACAGAGAATTGCAGGCAGTCAAGGGGAGTTAGCCATCTCTGCAGACTAGTTCAGGGCCAGTTATACACAGTTATACACAGGTAATTGGCTCATTCCTTAGACCGAGGACCTGGTGATGCTGTGCAGGAGGCAGCCTTCCCACCACAGCCCAGAATACCCTTTGCACACACAGAAGAAAATTTCCTGGGCTCTCTGTAGAGATGCCTTTTGGGCCTGCTCTCTGGGCAGCCTTCATGGCTAGGGTCTGTGCTCTATGCTTCAGCCCTGCAGCAGCTGTCTTAGAGTCACCAAAGAGCAGCAAGGTGGCCACCGGTGTACAGGGACATCACACCAGCATCTGAAGCTGCTCGGCTGGAGGTCCTCCTCAAGCTAGACCAGCGTAGAGCTGCTTGCCAGCTGTCTGATGGTGCTTCACTCTAGTGCCTTCCTCCACAGGGCAGTTAGGAAACCGTGTAGAAGGACCTGGAGGAGGATACAGGCTGCTCATGGAGCAGCAATTGGGGGAGCCCCTTGGGTCATCACAGGGAGCTGTGACCATTTTGTGTCACGTGACATTGGTGCCCTGAAAGGAAAGAGTTTGAGCTGCCATATACTTCTGCTGCCTGTGGGTCTCTGAGCAGCGCTTTTGGCCACTCTGATGGTAGCCTGCTTTGCCAGGAAATCTGTGCCAGGCTTTGATGGTTTCCAAGACAAGGAGAACATGCCCAACTTAACATCCAGTTCTGGCCAGCTTAGAGGGACATCTGCAATTGAGTGGAGGATGTTAGTGGACCACCGTGTCTAGCAAATAAGCCCCAGATGAGCTTGACCTGATGAAGACGTGGTAGGCTCCAGGCCCCTCCTGTTCATGTCTTGTGCTAAGAAACCTAGGCTTGTGATTCACTTGGCCCTGATGGATCCTGGAAGTTCCACAGAGCCGCATAAGGTAGGTCCCAGGGAAGGCAAGGCTCCTGACACAGGGTTCTGCTGTCCTGTGTTCCCCTTCATGTTCTTAGATTTGGTCAGAAAGCTAGTTTAAAACATTTGCTTCAAAATAAGTTATTTATTTGTATATGTTCAATAAATATAGTTTTAATTTATATATGTACATATTGGACACCCATGAGACATCCTGTCAGGATTCTCAGTGTTCTCATTCTATGACCCTCCCAAAGCCACAGGCGTGACCCCAGCCATCGGTGGCACAGGTTTGCTTTGTGTGGAACCAGGTGGGCAGAGGGCCGAGCCAGCCCCTTTCTGTGAGCTACTGGGTCTCTGGACCATGGGAGGTACCCCACCTTTTGGGACTTCTCTTTGTCTGAGGCCACAGTGTTTCTTGGGGTCTACTTTTGTCACAATTTGGCAAAGACGTCGTCAGGTTTCACACAGTCCCCTCCACTTTCATGTCCGTTCACCAACTAACACTTCACATACAAATACCATGCTGGCCTGTGGGCTTGCTGTGGTCCCTGCCTGGGGCACAGGTGTGAACCCTCACTGTCACACAGTCTCATGTACCAGTGTTCTTTCAAGGATGAGCATGGGTCAGTCAGGTCCTAGCAGGTACCAGGATGACCTGCAGGCTGGGTATGGGCCCACTGCACACAGAATCTCCCGGAGTCCTTGCTGCTGCCCTGTCTCTTCAGTATGCATGCCTTGTACTGAGAACTGCCTCACCAGCTGTCCACCTCATCTGTCCGCTTGCCCAATTTGCTTTTGGTTTTTTCTTTGTCACTAAGCCCATGCTAATGGACTGGAGAATTGGTACTTTGAAAAGCAATGTCCCAGGTCCCGAGGCCAACAAGGAAGGTTTCCACTGTGTGAGGACTGCAGTCCTCCAGTTAGAATTCACATGCAAGCAGCAACAGGAGTGTCCCTGGTCTCTCCTCCCAAAGACAGGGGACACCCATACCTGCAACAGCCTACCAGCAGCTGTTATCATCCTGTGCTCCAGGGATACCTGAGCCAAGCAAGTGAGTCCTCCATTCACACCCACCCTCGCCAGCAGACAGGACGCCCCCAAGGTCCATTCTATGGGTGTGACAACATCAAAATGATCGACTGTTGCCCTTCTCCTCCTCATCTTCTTTTTTCTAAAGTACTCTTAGACCAGAAACATTTCAAACCCATGACGTATTTTTAAAGTAATTGAATGTCTGGGTCCTGTTCCCACTGACATACTGATAACCACACCAGCGGGCAGGTTTCTACTGTGAAATAAACTGAAACTAACAATAAAACTCCTGTGCTGTCTGCACTCAACTCGGCCCCAGGAAGAGGCTGAGCAGTGTGTGGCCACGTCGATGGCATGGGAAGTCCACTCCTTAGTTTTGAAGGGTATCCTTTGCCAGTAGTTGAGGACAATACTGGTTTTGGAAACCTCAGTTTCCCACACACCGGGTTGGATTATCCTTTCAAAGAGGGGTCTTCAATTCATAACTCTTAGGGACCAAAGGTGTTTCTAAAATAATAATGTTCTTAATTGATTTTCTAACAAAGTTTTACTTTACATTTTAACACCAGTTTTTACATTCTAGTTATTCCAAATGAATTGCTCGTGGCTCTAAGTTGTAAGATGTTTTTCATGTTATGAATGTAATTATTTCCTTATTGTATTTTTTAAAAAACTAAAGTCATATTTAAAATAATCTTGGAAAGACACAGGCAAAGAAAAGAGAAAGTTTTTTTAATAACTATGTTGGTAGCCCATTTGAAATGACTGTAAATATATTTTGATTGTGCAACTCAATGTATTTAATTCAGAAAGTAAAAATTTTTATGCAAAGAGACTTGCAATGAAAAATCCTAGTTTTCAGCCCATTCCCCCCCCCATTTTGTAGTCACTTCATCCAACCTTTCTGCTTTCCTTACTGATTTTTCTACTGTTGTAACTATGTACCCATTGACGGGCGCCCATTGGCGGAACTTGTTTGTGTATTAATAAAACTGTGCTGTGAGGCCCAGCCTCATGTCCTCCTGACAGCGGCTTACAGTGCAGTCCAAGACTTCCACAGTTGCCTGAATCATCATTTCTGGGGGTATCAGAGGTCCCTGGACAGGTGGGAGGGCTGGATCTCACCGGTGAAGTGGAAATCCCTCTGCTTTAGAGGATCCTTGGGAATTCTTTTTTTTTTTTAGTAGTTTTGGTCTGTGGACCTGAGTATTTAACTCAGTTGACACCGTCACTGCCTCCTCATCTCCTGGCTCCATGCCAAGTTCTGGAAACAGAAATGAGTCCCCTGGATGCTTGCTGCCAGGAAGCCTGCAAAACACAGATGTACTCTTTCCAGTGGAGGCTGCTTGGAGATGTGGGAAATCTTAGATGAGCGGTTAGCTTTAAATCTGTTCGTCTTGAGAGGTGTGAGGGTTACGGTAGCTAGCATTGGCATTTAAACAAAGGTGATAGCTGCTTGCAGCTAAGTAGGACAAGGAGACAGGTGGTGAGAAGAGGCCTGGGGTGGGCCGTGGAGGAATTGGGGAAATTGAGAAGAGTCCTGTCAAGTAGAGAGGAGTAGGGCGACTTCAAGGCTGCTCAGGGCTTCTGCATGTGGATGCCACCTGATGGCTGGCTAGTGGAACAGGGAGCAGAGGAGACAGAGGAACCCACTGCTGGGCTTGACATCTGGATCAAGAGCTATTGGGTGTGAGTACCTGGGGACTGTGGTGAGGGAGCTGTTGGTGGTGTTCAGGGACATGGGCAAACTCAAAGGCCCGTTCAAACCACTAATGGTTGAAGTATTGAGCATTGGGTGAATCCCAGCCATTTATCACAGTTGATGGGGAGAGGGGGGGTCCTACACACTGGATCTGGAAATGGGACACAGACTCCAGGGCAACTTGAGGTCACAGAGCAACTCCTCAGGGGCATTCAGCTTCCACCTTCCCTTGTCCGGGGTTGGCCACTGAGTCCTAAGCACTGGTCAAATGTCACTGAGCCTGTTTGTAAGTGATGCCTTGGGGTTTGGAGTCCCTGTGTGCTGCCAGAGAAAGAGGGGTGCTGGGAAAGAGACCCCCAGGCTGCTCATGCTCTTGTGATGACCTATGACCCAATGGCATGGAGCCTATCATAGGTGCACATTGGGACCCTCTGTGGGAAGCAGGGAAACAGTATCAGATGTCTGTGACTCAGGAAGTCTGTGATAGAGACGTCAATTTTATGAGGCTGCTAAAAAAACAACAAACAAAAAACACAGCTCTCTATTCATGGGAAGGGACAAGGTGTCAAAAACTCAAGTGAAGGCATAGCTGGGATACTCAGTGGGAGGGGACAGGTGTGCATTCCTCCTGAGCTGGAGCTGGGTGCACAAGCTGTTCAGGAACATGGAAAGTGCCCCCACAAAGACCCTCTATAAACCTTCCTAAGCCCCAGTCAGAGCAGAGCTGGGTGCCTCCTTCCTGGAGTGCCAGCCTCCCCTCTGGGAGTCTGTCTGTCTTGCAGTATGGCACATTCTGCCTCTAGGAATGCCAAGTGGATGTTCATGTGCAGACTAACCAGTCCAGAGCCTGTGGCCTTTAGGGGATGCTAGTCTCAGCATTCTGCCGGATGTGATGCTAACTACACACAGCGTTCTGTGATGGGTCTCCAAGGAGCAAGTTAGGGGTCTAGTAAGACAGACCAATCCCAGGGCTGTGTCAGGAAAGATTGAAATGGGAAATTAAAGGCCCAGGAAAACCATCCCCAAGTCTACACCCATGAGGGAGGCTCATACCCCCTTTGCCACAAACCTCAGGCTTGCCTTAGTGATCACAGCCTGCAGGGGACCTGCAGAAGTGTATCCATTCCGCTCAGCCAGCAAAAGAGCCCTTGTGCTTGCTTGCTTGCTTTCGGAACAATGCTATATCCATATTTTCTATCTTTAAAAACCAGGTTTTCAAGTGTTTTCCTTTATAAGCATGTCACTCTGGACAGAAATCCAGCCACACGTACCTTCTCATCAGCACTCCACGGGGACCTTAAGTGTTCCATCAACCCTGCTGCCTTGTACTCAATCAACTCTTGACAGGACAACTTCAGGCTACAGTCATGAGCCTCTACAGACTCATTTCAAGCTGATTTTGTGTAGCTTGTGCCTGAGGAGAATCCAGAGGCTGCTGGACTCCTGCTTCCTGACACACTGAGAGAGAAGCCACTTAGCAACACACACTGGAAACCCATAGTCTATTACCACAGCCCATCTCCTGCATCCTAGAACTAAGTCTGGGTTATCACAGCCAATGTTTAACCCTGGTCCAGGCACGTATCATGGCAGCATCTCTGGTTGTCTCTGGTGCCAAATGCAGAGACCTTGGATAACACCCATCTGTGGGTGCTCGGGCCACCTCGCCTTATTTATTTATTTATTTATTTATTTTTTATTTTTTTATTTATGTTTTTAGAGACAGGGTTTCTCTGTGTGGCTTTGTAGACCAGGCTGTCCTCAAACTCACAGTGATCGCCTGCCTTTGCCTTCTGAGTTCTGGGATTAAAGGTGTGTGCCACCACTGCCCGGCTCCACCTTTATCTGGAAGCTGCCCTCTGGTTTTCTAGCTAACAGGTGGTGCAGGAAACACCATAACATGAACCAGAAGGCTTCCTTCTGTGTTTGCCAAGTGATCTAATCGAAACCTATACACTCCACGGGAGGCAGATGTGGAGTCCAGAGGTGTTGCACCCTTTTGGTAACCAAGGACATGGACCCGCCACTGCACCCAATCAGAAGACCGTGGTGCTCTGTGCTCCAAACCTTTAGGGGCCCCTCTCCCTTTTGTCAATTTTTTCTTTGCCTCAACGGCCATTTTCTCCCTTTCCCAGATAACTTCATGTCTTTTCTCACCTCCTCGTGACCTCATCTCACACCTGCTGTCGTGGTGCCCTGTCCTGAGGCTGGGCACCTTATTGCTCCTTGGTTCTGCCCCTCTGCTCCGGGCTACACCACACTTGACCACTCTGGCCTCGCTGTGCTGTGACTTCTATGCTGGATGCCGTCCTGTCTCAGCTACCCCTCCTCCCAGGAGCACATCTTGGGCCCAGTAGGCAATGGTGGGCCAGCACTAATCTCTCACGTCCACCCTGTCTATTCTCTGGAGCTGGACCCCCGCCCATTACTCACTCTGCTCCCGACACAACACCTGCCATTAGGGCTTCAGGCTCCAAACTAGGTGTTAAGTGACATCTTTCTTCAGCCACAGCTGAGTTCCACTGGCCTTTTCCTCACTGCAGTCACATGGCCCAGGCTCCTTGGGCTGTTTGTGGCTTCTTTTCCTAGCTTCCCCTATTGACCTTGAGTGACCTGAAGGCCTGTGGCATCATTTCTCTTTCCTGACATCATTCTTGACCAGGGCTCCCTCTCTCTTCTCACCACTTACCCCTCCTGGTCCCACTGATGAAAAATAAATCTTGTGGCCCATTTTAAGTATGCGGTATGTAAAGAGCACATCAGAGACTTGCAACTACGGGAGGTACTAGGCCCCTGTCTCCCTTAGCTTGCAGCTGGGGCCTGCTTGCCTTGGCTCTCAGTTTATCCTCAGCCTGGAAGGTGACATGTAGCTGTGTGATGGAGCAGAAATGGAGGAATCTTGGGACTCCGGGGATGCAGAGTTTGGATAGGGATTACGCTAGGCCACTGAAGATTGTGCCTCCCTGAAAAACTCAGGTAATGGAGAATCAGCGGGGAGAGAATGTGATTAGGAACACAGCCACCATCTTTTTTTGCACTAAATCTGTGCTCCTGCCATCCTTGCCTTTTCCCTAGGCTGACCCACACTTTGCCAGGTCATTCAAATAACCGCATCACTTTCACTACTTGGAGTCTCCAGTGCTCTTAATAAGAAGTGAGGATTTGTTTCTCACGCTGGTCCCTGCTGTGTGACCATGCCAGACAGGCACCTGCTGTGCTCATTGGTGGTCTGAGCAATCCCAGATGTGGCCGGCACTGCAACTCAGGCTCTCCCTCAATTGTGGAGTGGTTTGCACATCTGCTTCAGGGCAACTGCCAGAATGGCCCGTGGGGCTGTGGGAGGGGCCTTGTGCTGGAATTGATGCACAACCAAGACTGAAGCTGTCCTTGTGGCTGGGCTGCCATTGCCCCATCACTGCCCTGCTGGCAGGCACAGCTCAATACTTAGTGCCTTTTGAGACAAGATCTAGGTAGGTCATTAGTGGAGATGAGCATGTGGGCCGTAGTGATGTCAGCTGAAGGTTGCCAATGCCGCTGTCAGCCCAGTGGTGAGCCAGCAATTCCTGGACTGGGCCAAGTGCTGTGGCATCCTGGGTCTGGGCACGCTAGGCCTGGGATGCCTGTGACAAACAGTCTCATCCATACTGTGACAAGGGAACGTTACCACGGAGTTCCAATGAACATAACCTTGCTTGACTGTTATTCCTGCACCCTGAGGTACCTCCATGGTTGGTCATCCTGGTATGAGGCAGAGGAACCATGGATGCCTCTCACAGCTCTAGTGGAAGGAGGTTTGCTGGGCCAAGCATCCATGTACTCCCTGCTGAGTGACTACAGACATCCCCACACAGAATCTCCTTTCCATGTGAACCCTGTCCTTCTGTAAGTCACCAGGCACTCACTGCTGGTGCTTCCAGCCAAGACCTGAGAGCACAATTAGAGCAGGAGGCTCTGTGGTACCTGAACCCTGGACACCTTGGTTAGAGGTGTGAGGGCCTGGACAAGGATGACTGTGAGGGAGCTGGGGGCCTTTGGGAGGCTGAGTGGTGAAGGGGTGTGCTACTGGGAGGTGGTCACCTGCAATAATATCTTCATCTCTGGTACCCAGGAGAAATGATGGTGACAGAAAGACAAGCAACAGGCCCCTACTCTCAGACTGGACTATACTGTCCAATGGTCTGAACACTGTCACCACAGCCTGTTTCTCCCTGACTTTGTCCTGCCCTGGTGGCTGTTAACTGCGATGGCAGGCACTATGACCCAGGTGTCTAGAGACACTGTTCTCTCACTTTGGAATAAGGACCTTTGTGCCTGCCTTGTCACTTTGGAGGCATGTACTGGTATTGCCCGCCT